GCAGATGCAGCCGGGACAAACGGCTTAACGTACCTTCCGAAGCACCGAGGAGCTCGGGATAGAAAATTTTCGGTCACCCATCCTATGACCAACCACTGCGAGAGTTGCTTAACTTCAACGATCGCAGCCGAACGCGCTAACCACTTGCGCCATCGAGCTCCTCAGTTATTGTTACAAAACAGTTTCATTTATTGAGGTCGTCACTACACAATTTGTCAACTGTGTGACAAGCAAGACGCGTTTGAAACCGTTCGAAAAGAAAAATAAATTCAATGTAGCTTTAAAAAGAGTGCCATTCGTTAAAATAACGTTATTTTTTGTTATATTTTGACGCGATTTCGTTGTTATTCTTTGGCGAAACAGCAACGCTGTTTTGATAATGATTTTGAAATGAAATTCGTATTTTCTATGTGTTACTTTCTGTGATGTGAAATCAGTGTCGGCTTCGTGTGTAAAGTGGTGACGACATGCAACCTAGACTTTAGAGAGCTTAGGTGTCCCAAAACTTTGCAACGTACTATAACGCCCGAAGCGTTACGGCCTCCTTGCGTGTGTAAACTCTTTGCATATACCTAGTCAGGTCATAAATTTTGTCACATGTTTAATATAAAATAATTGAAACAAGTTTATTCATTATGTAACCATTTAAATACCAAAATGAACTTAAAAAAACATAGATTCTTTATGACAATAAAGTTTCTTCAAAATGACTTCCGTGATTTTGAATACAGGCCTTCAATCTGCGCGGCCAGTCGTCAATCGCAGCACGAACGTGGTCCATGTCAATATCGGCGGCTGCCTTAATCAAGGATGTCTTGAGTGACTCCAAATTGGGATGAGGCTTTGAGCACGCCTTTTCCTCTAAGTGTTGCCATATCTTGTAATCTAACGGACTCAAATCTGGACTGGAGGAGGGCCAGTCTTCGTGCCGGATGAAGTCGATTTCACGCGTCGCCAGCCAGTCTTGTGTGCTCTTCGCTCTATGAGCTGGCGCCGAATCTTGTTGGAATACCCAGTGCCTGTTATTGAACATGGTATGAGAAACAGGTTCCACAAGGTTCATCAGGACTGTATTTTGATACACAACTGCATTCGTTTTTACACATTTCTCACAAAAATGTGGTACCTACATTACTCTGTTAAGCCCCACTAAGAAACTCCCAACCATACCTACGAGGATGGAAAATCACCCGTTGGACACGCGGAATACGGTTGCTCGCTTCTTCACTACTGTGTGCGTACATCCTATCATTTTGTTTGTTGTAGCTCTCTTCTACGGTAAAATTTTTTTCATCCGAAAAAAGAATTTCCCGATATTTTTTTCCCGCGTACCGACCGCTTCAACAAAGCGCGGCATCTCGTCAGTCTCAGGTCCATTAGACGAGCATTCAAACGATGTCCTGTTTTTCTTCGATATGCCCGAAGCCTTAACACCCTTCTTCAACGTCTTCATTTAACACCCTTTTCACCGTGGTTCTGCTTAACCCCATCTGAAGGGCCAACAGTTTCTGCTTACGTTTGAGATTTCTTTGAATTCGCGCCTTCACAGCTTTTATCACTGCTGGAGTCCTAACAGACCGAGGGCGACCACTTCTTGACCTGTCATCTACACTAGAGTCTTCATTGTATCGTTTGATGGTACGATAAACGAATTTTTTGGTTATATTCAAAATTTTCAGTATGTCAAAATTTTTTTTTGGCGCGTAACCGCAACGATGCAACGCAATAACTGCAACACCACTCCATGTTTAAAAATGAGTAAAATTCTAAAAAGTATTCATTTTTATTTTCATGAACAATTCAAAATTCGAATTCAATAAACTTTTTTGTGGCCAGCATTCTAAAAGAAAAGTTTTTACTGTGTGACAATACTTATGACCTGACTGTGTATAATGCCTACGGTTGGCAGTTATATTAAAAAGTGAATGTCATTATTTCAAAGATTTGAATATGAGAATCTTTTGTCTCATATCGAACATGCCAGCAAATAGAATTCAGACACAGACACGTTCGGTTGATGGAAAAACGATTGTATTATTTGCTCAGTTTTAACAAAACAAAGTTGAGCATCCTAAATGCTCTTATTGTAATAATTACTACGTTCTAATACCTACGTTCCCTTCAGGAGAGATAATTACGGTACCTTGAATATTGTTGATAGAAAATTTTGATAGGAATTCATTGCAGTGTTGTCTACTGTTATTGGTGTCTAATACTAAATTAAAAAAGAAAGTTGAATTATCATTTTTATTAAAAAAAAACATAGTGACACTTAGAAAACTAAGTAGGTACTGGCTGTTTGTAGCAGTATCATTTTTCATCATTATCAAAAGTTGCTATAAAAATTAAATGGAGCGAATAGGGCGTAGAAATAAAAATTATATTATATATTACGATGCTCCTTCTGCATTTTCAGCACAGCACTAATTGATTGCGAAACTTAATTATTTATTTGTGAAATAAAACAAGTTTCAACGTTATAGGTGCACTGATGACTGATTTTATTTATTTATTGACGTTTCGCAAATCGATCCTGCAAAGGATGCGAAACGAGACGATCTCCGTGGCCGAGTGGTTTGTACGCCGGGTTTCATAGTGTCGCCGACTCGAGAGGTCTCGGGTTCGAATCCCAGTGGGGGCAGATGTTTGTGTGATGAATACGAGCATTTGTTCTCCAGTCATGGATGTTTAATATGTAATTCTATATAAATATACTTGGGGCTAGGCTAATTGGTGTGAGGGTTGGAAATATTTATTTATTTATTTATACCGTTGAAGCTTGTTTTATTTAATGAGTGATGTGCGTGAAAACCTAAGAAACAAATTTAAAGAAAATATAACTAGAAAAAATTCCACGCGGACCAGGCAGCAGACGGGACTCGAACCCGCACCCTTCGCAATCCGGGCGAATGCACTGACCAATTATGCTACCGCGGCCCTCACGGACCGCGTCGAAATTCTTTCTAGCTATTCTTAAGCTGCAAGGCAGCGCCATCTCTTCGCATTATAGGTAAACCCACAATGTCAAATGAATACTTTTACAAGTATTAAACATTTGAAAGAAGAAATAGCAATTATAGTTATATCGAACCCGCACCCTTCGCAATCCGGGCGAATGCACTGACCAATTATGCTACCGCGGCCCTCACGGACCGCGTCGAAATTCTTTCTAGCTATTCTTAAGCTGCAAGGCAGCGAGTCCCGTCTGCTGCCTGGTCCGCGTGGAATTTTTTCTAGTTATATTTTCTTTAAATTTAAACATCAAGCAGTTACATGCTTTAAAAATAATAAAAATTATAACTAAGAAACAAATATTTATTTGTTAGCTTAATGTTATTTGTAAATTCGGGTCGTTCTTTTTCTGTTTTGTGAATGTGATAACTTCAAAGACTTTTATTAAAGTACCTAATAAGATATTTCCATCAAATTAAGTCGTCATCTCAATGAAAATAATAATGTTGTGTAATGAATATGGCGTTTTTAACAACTGTGTGTTACAGCCGTTTTGTATATGGTTAATGTACGTATGTTATTATTATTATAACCTATATATAATTATAATTTTACAATCCTGTAGCCATAACGTATGCTTTTCGCAATAAGTCCAAAAAACCTATCTCATTTTATTCTTGCAATGCAAATTTTATACGTAACATGGAAAACAATATATACAGGGTGTATAAAATAATTTGGGACAAGTGTTTAAATGAGATATTTTTGTGTATCGAAAATACAACGGATTTGCAATCTATCTATATGTATATCTATAAAACTCAAAGGTGACTGACTGACATAGTGATCTATCAACGCACAGCCCAAACCACTGGTCGGATCGGGCTGAAATTTGGCATGCAGGTAGATGTTATGACGTAGGCATCCGCCAAGAAAGGATATTGATCAATTCTACCCCCAAGGGGATAAAATAGGGAATGAAAGTTTGTATGAAACTTTGTCAATTTTAAACCGATCGGGCTGAGACTTTGCATGCAGGTATAAGAAGAATCATAGATGAAAGTCATTGTGTATAATACAAGCCTGAGAACAAAAACTGTAGTTTACACTTCAGCTCTACACCGAAGCGAAGCGAGGGCGGGCCGCTAGTATAACATGTACGTCTCAATCAATTAGTCAACAACTTTTACTTGGTTGGGGGGAGCAGTACCAAAACCCTATTTTTAATGTCGGGAAAAGGCGTATGGCGCCTTCCTGATCTTCCTGTTCGACTGTATGGAACGATGATGATGAATATCTACATGTCCCAACGGCTAACTAGAGACGAGGTCAAGGGCGGATCCACGGGGGGGTCATGGGGGTCATGACCCCCCCTGGACTGGGGTCCTGGGGGTCATGACGCCCCCCCCTGGACTGGGTTCATCTATACCACTTCACAATCTGTACCCACTGTGACTTGACCACGACTATATGACCCCCCCTCCTGGCGCCAAAGCTGTATCCGCCCTTGGACGAGGTCCGAGTCTCAGAGACGCCCTCTAGTTGAGCCGGCCCCCTCAGGTTCGAGTGGTCTAGAGGCTCCAGACGGAGCACATCAAAAAGGAACCGGTGAATCCATATTTTGAGAGCTTGTTTACTAATATTTTGTGACAAACTTTGTCAAATGCCTTGGAAAAGTCAGCATAGACAGCATCGCTTTGCAACTGGGAGTCCATATTGTTAACAATGAGATTAGTGAAAGTGATGAGATTTGTGCTGGTAGACCTAGATCTCAAGAATCCATGCTGGCGATCAGTAATAAGATGTTTTATTTGGGCGTAAAGATGTGGATATATTAGCGCTTAAAATATTTTTGGTATAACTGATAAGATTGAGATTGGTCTATAATTAGCAATATTGTTTTTGTCACCGCTTTTGTTTGATTGGAGCGAGAGCGGAGACTCTCTCCCGTGGGGAGATGCCATCCGCTTGGAATACCCCTAGAGGCATCTATATGCCCCAACTATAGTCATTAGTACAGATAATAATTCAAATGTTTTTTTTTTCAGAGTAACCGTCAATGTTGTCTTCGTAAGAAGTGCCGCTACGGATTCTTTGATCCCAGTTACAGGTAAGTACCTACCTCCCATCTTGTAGTAGTCTCATCTTCGATTCCCGGTAGGTTAACATAACTAACTACATATAAACACATCAAACAAGTAAGCAACCCGCATCATGTACCTACAGAAACTGTATTTTTCTTAGCAAAGTTAATTGGCATACAAGTTATTTTGTTCTCGAAAATATAATTGGCTGATTTTAAAACAAATAAACTTTTCCATTTAATTTATTTAAGGTCTTTACATAATTTTGAAATTAGCGTTTTGTCGCACTGACCACATTGATCTGAAATATCTCCTTTTTGGTTAAGAACTCCAAAACAACCCTACCAGTGCCGTACGCATCATTAATCCTTCGAGCTGTTTCTGCAGCATTGGTGCCACGGTAGATATTAAATATCGGTATATTTACGAGTATGAAATTTTCATGTTTTCCATTGTGCGCTAGGAAGCGACGTCAAAAAAAAAAATAATGAGAAAAAAACAGACGAATGACTGTTTTCAAAACTCAAATGTAAGTACCGGCTAAATGAATTTATAATTTTTTCCTTAAATGTATTCTGTTTTTTTTTTATTTATTCATGAGCTTTCATGAGCTTCATGAGCAGCAGTACTTAAATAGGCTTAGGATAGAGGAATGTAATATTATAATCTTATTAAGTACTATTAGGAACAAAACAAACTTCTTTCGAATTTTTGGTATACATATTAATTCCAATTAACAGTCTTCAGTCCATGACACCAGAATCCGTGATGCTGACGTAATCACTATTTCGACCCCCTCCCCATGTCATCAAAAATAAGCAAAGCAAAGACCCCCTTCCCCCCTTTTGTGCTTACGTAATACTTGAACGGCCCCTGATGAAAAGTGTATACTTTACGATAATCGGAAGCGCTCGGCGCAATGGCTGAACCCTGGAGACCCACCCAATCGTGCCCTAAACGAAAATTGACTCAGAAAAAGTTACTTGTGAGTGTTTGGTGGACTTGCGCCGGTGTCGTTCACTACAGCTTTTTTTTTATGCTAAATAGGCAATGCGTTTGACCACAATCTCACCTGATGGAAAGCAATGATGAGGCCTAGGATGGTACACACCTGCCTAGAAGATGCCTGTTCACTCTGGCCTTGAAGGTGTCCAGGTTATATTGGTCCGGGAAAACAGACCTCGGCAAGGAGTTCCACTCCCTAGCCGTTCGTATAATGAAGGCCGAAGCAAATCGCTTCGTGCGAATGGGAGGAACTTCGACAACATAAGGGTGGAAGCCTTCGCCGCGCCTGGTCGTTCGGTGGTGGAAAGGGGAAGGGGTTATCAAATTATGTAATACCTCCGCACACTCTCCGAAATGTAACCGATAAAACACCGAAAGGCAAGCTACACGTCTTCGGTGGTCAAGGCTCTGAAGATTAGAATCAGCTTTCTAAAATCTGGCCAACGTTTACAGCAGATATCTTTTGTCAGCAACTGCAAACCATGAAGGAAGAACTAGCTGATAAACAACCGAGATTGGTCAATCGCTCTAGGCCACTGCTGCTTCACGACAACGCAAGACGACACACTGCACAACAAACAACCACTAAGTTAGATGAACTACAATAGGGTATTTGACAAGTTTTAGATAACGATCTCACGTTATTGACTAATGTTTATGGAGTCCGTAAAAAGATATAATGGATATTCATCAATCTGTTGTCTATTTCAGTAAAAATAACCAAATCAAAAACTCCATTTTCAAGTTGCCGCGAAACCGTTTCTCTGGACAATATGGCGTCTTACTAGTGTGTGACGTCACACGACTGTTATTAAAACGTCAAACGATACAATGTAATGTCAGTTTAACCGGAAGTTTACTTGCGTGTGACGTCATTTTAGGCTCCGCCAATCCCAAGCGTTTTTGGTCACGTGACAATAGATAAGAAAACTATTATCTTTTTCGTGTGTCTTTAGTAAAATTATGAACATTTTTTTTGTAAAAATAGTAAAAACCCCTGCCAATATTCATTCTAAACACAGATTCTAACAATTGGCGCTTTATTTTAATACTGTGTAATACCCTATTGGAATGTCTGCGATCCACCGTACTCACCGGACCTTGCTCCAACAGATTACCATTTTTTCCGGAATTTGGACAACTTTACAAAAAATTCAACTCCGATGCGGCAGTTCAAACCGCCTTCAAAGAGTTTATTGATTTTCGCCCCCATGGTTTTTTTAGTTAAGGGATCAATGAACTACCTATGTAATGGCAAAAGTGCATAGATAACAACGTTGCATACTTTGATTAATTTAATATAAAGAAAGTTTACTAGAAAAAAAAATCCACGCGGACCAGGCAGCGGACGGGACTCGAACCCGCATCCTTCGCAATCCGGGCGAATGCACTGACCATTATGCTACCACGGCCTCTTCGCCGCGTTGAAATTTTCCTAGCCTTAAGCTGCAAGGCAGCGCCATCTCTTCGCATTGTAGTAACCCACAATGTCAAATGAATACTTTCAACGCGGCGAAGAGGCCGTGGTAGCATAATGGTCAGTGCATTCGCCCGGATTGCGAAGGATGGGGGTTCGAGTCCCGTCCGCTGCCTGGTCCGCGTGGATTTTTTTCTAGTAAACTTTCTTTAGATTTAAACATCTAGCAGTTAAATGCTTAAAAATAAATAAAAACATAACTATAATTGCTATTTCTTCTTTCAAATGTTTAATACTTGAAAAAGTATTCATTTGACATTGTGGGTTACCTACAATGCGAAGAGATGGCGCTGCCTTGCAGCTTAAGGCTAGGAAAATTTCAACGCGGCGAAGAGGCCGTGGTAGCATAATGGTCAGTGCATTCGCCCGGATTGCGAAGGATGCGGGTTCGAGTCGCGTCCGCTGCCTGGTCCGCGTGGATTTTTTTCTAGTAAACTTTTTTAGATTTAAACATCTAGCAGTTAAATGCTTAAAAATAAATAAAAACATAATTTAATATATTTTACAAAAAAAATGACTATATGCTTCCCGTACAAAACGCCAATTTCATATGTAAGGACCTCTTAATAATATTGGGCCTCAGCACGCTTGTCGTTTGTTACAAACGCCGAACATGTCAAACAAAGTGCCAAACGCCGATGACAGATGACATGAATGTCTTTTGTGCACACGAATGCGTCCTAACGAACAAATTAATGACCATAACACAAGCCTACAGTGCTTACTTTGGGGCTAGGCTAATTGGTGTGAGTGTTGGAAATATAAATATTTATTATTATTATTCATACTTGCTGTATCAGATCACCACGAGATGTCGCTACAGCGTCTGACGGCGCTCCGCTCGCTCATGGCGAGTCAGCCCACTGTGCTCGCGGCCTATATAGTGCCCACAGCAGACGCACACAATGTAAGATTTGTTTTATTTAATTATAAAAATACATAAACTATATTTAAAATAATAAGATAAACATTATAAGATGCACACACACACACACACATACACACGCATACACATACACACACACACACGCATACACATACACATAAACACACTCACACACACAAACACACATAACAAACTCCTTTTTGTATTCCATTGAATTTATAAGTTAAGAACATTTTCTGGATCTGGACAACAATTATGAATAGGGTGGAGGGTTGATTACCTGAGACACAGGATTCATCCTAGTTCAGGTGTCAACCCACCATAATCTGATCAATACGTACCTTTTATTTTTGGTAAAAAAAAATGCATGTTTTTTATATCATTGTTTTTATGTAGCCATTAATACCAACATTGTGAACATTGTGATTATGGTGAGAAATAAAGGTTATTATTATTATTTTTTATGTTTGGGAAATACGTGATGCCGTATGGCGCTGCCAGGTCTAGGCACGGCTTCTACCCGGGCCGGTGTCGACTGCAGTGTGAATAAGGGTGGGCGTTTTTAGAATAACGATACGCGATAACGATGCCAGGTTTGGATGCGTTATTGGATGACGATGCCATCTAGTTTTTGTCAACGTTACTATAGCAACAATAACATCTTCTATAATATCTCTTATCTAATAGACAAGTCCGTCCGTCCGTCCGTGGTGCTGTTTCAGCGGCCAAACCGTAAGAGATAGATAAGGAGAATGTTTAAGTTATAAGTTAAGAATAGTCTGATAAGACTACAAACCGGATGTGAGTAACGTAGCACTTCCGGTTTTCGAGAAATCACGTGATTTCTATTTCAAACGAAACCACACAAAATCTGGGAAGTTCTCAGTTAATTAGATACATTTTTTTTTGGTGAACATTTGGTTCACTGGTTTGCTAGTAAAAATTAATCGCTGAATGTGTTGCTAAGCGCAAATCTCGAGAACAGCTGAACCGATTTCGATAATTCTTTTTTTAAGAATATTCTTTGAAGGACGAGGTTGGTTCTTACGCTGAGAAAAAATTTAAAAAATGCCTAAAAAAGCCCAACAACAACACTTTTCTATACTCATGGGAGTATAGATATACAAACGATTCGGAATAATACTTAAAAGTCAATTTGAACTTCAATACCATAATCCGTGCGGTGACGGAGAAAGAATACAACTCACCGCCCCTTTTCTTCCCGTGGGTGTCGTAAGAAGCGACTAAGGGATGTCGGAGCTTCCATCCGCTCTTCTGGTGGTAGGGTGCCTAACACCCGCCTGGTTTGTTACCACCGTGCGCATGGTGAAAAACCCGTGAAGTGCTTCTCGCGCGTTTCGGGGTCAGCCAGCGTACAACCAGAGCTCGAGTGGAAGTTATCGCGAAGGATTCGGTCCAGGGGAGGCATCCGTGGAACCGATGCCGGGAGGACTGCATCGACCCGTCGGCCAGGGAGACCCGTAGAAACGGCTGTCCCGCTGGCCGCCCGTGGCACAGTACAGGGGCCCAAGCGTTCCTAACCAGTTCGCGAGGCTGCCCCATCATGTCACGCATAATCTCGGGGTGGACCGTCGTGCCGGTTGGTGACCGGGGCGTGGGGTCCCGGCGGCCACTTCCGGGGGGGTGCGGGGGCCCTTCCGTCCGGCGGGTCGGCGCATCTCCACTGCAGGCAGACAATCGGGAAGACAAACCCCCCTTATTTGCCCGGACTCTTCGCGACGGCGTCCGCTCGTTTTCGCGTCTCTTTTTTTTTCACTTCCACCATGGCAGCCTCAATAACAAAGTTTGGACGTACAGCGGTGCACACCCCCACGCCTTCAACGCTGCTTGAGGTCGAGTTCTGCAACATACGCGGACTCCACTCTAACCTCAACGCTGTCCACCACCATCTCGAGACAGCACGGCCAGCATTGTTATTCCTGACGGAGACACAAATACTTCCGCCTGCTGACACAGGCTACCTTAATTATCCCGGCTACGTGTTTGAAGAGTCCTTCAAAGCGAAAGCCGGTGTATGCCTGTATGTTCGGGCGGATGTTTGTTGTCGCCGTCTCCGCTGCTTGGAAGATCCCTCCTTCTCCATGCTGGGGGTACACGTCGACTCTGGCCCCCGGGCCAGAGTCTACGTGTGCCTCTACAGATCCCACACCGGCGATGTTGAGACAACTCGACTTTTTGAACACCTTAGTCGGGCAGCAGATGACGCGCAGGAGCGATTTCCCAATGCAGAATTGGTGTTTTTGGGGGACTTTAATGCTCACCACAATTTGTGGTTAAGTTCTTCCAAAACTGACCATGCAGGGATCTCTGCTCACACATTCGCTCTCACGCATGACTTGAAGCAACTGGTTGATCAGCCCACCAGGATCCCATATTCCAAGTCAAGCGCCTTGTTTACTGGACCTTCTGCTCACGACCCATCCACAGGGCTATCAGGTTGTGGTAAGAGCCCCCCTGGGCTCGTCCGACCACTGCCTGATATCTGCCAAAGCACCACAGGCCAAGCCTCCGCGTCCAGCAGTGGTCAAGCGCCGTATCTGGCATTATGGGTCGGCAGATTGGGACGGTATGCGTGATTACTTTGCGTCCGTCCCTTGGAAGCAGCGCTGCTTCAGTGACAGGGACCTATCGGGCAGTGCCGTTGCCATTACTGAGGAGATCATAATGGGCATGGAATACTATATTCCTCATTCTGATCTCATCAGTAAGGGCACACGTAACCTCTGGTTCAATCACGACTGTGCTGAAGCTGCTTCGCGTAAGCAAGCGGCATATCGTGCTTGGATCAGAGGCCGCGCTCTCAAGGATCCCGGGGTCGATTCACTCAAAGCAGCCTACAATTCTGCTTCCAAGGCCTGTAAGAAGGCTTACATCAGAGCGGATGCCCAGCGTGTTGCACGTGTTGGCCAGGAACTTATAACGCATCCTGCGGGCTCCCGTAGCTACTGGCGTTTGGCCAAGGCCGTGCAAAAAAACTTCTGCCAGCCCTCGCTGCCACCTCTGAGATGCCCAGACGGAACACTAGCTCATAAGCCGCAGGAGAAAGCCGATTTACTGGCAAAACTCTTTGCGGCTAACTCCCGAAACGATGATTGCAATGCACTGCCACCATCATTACCTCACTGTGGCACAACGATGCCTGATATTAAAATCAGGCAGCGTGAGGTTCGTGCCGAGTTGCAATCACTCGACGTCCGGAAAGCTAGTGGACCTGATGGCATCCCAGCAGTAGTACTTAAAAAATGTGCAGCGGAGTTGTCTCCCGTGCTCACGCGCTTGTACCAATGCTCGTATTCTTTGGGGCGTGTGCCGGAGACTTGGAGAGATGCTAACGTGCAACCGGTGCCCAAAAAAGGGGATCGCTCGGACCCGGCAAACTATCGGCCAATAGCAGTCACCTCAGTTTTATGTAAAGTTCTAGAAAAGGTCCTTAATAACCATCTGACCCGCTACCTAGAGGATCACTCCCTGATTAATGATCGTCAATATGGATTTAGACCGAAACGATCGACGGGTGATCTTCTAGCGTACTTAACTCATATCTGGGGTGAGGCTATCGACAAGCGTGGCGAGTCGTTGGCTATCAGCCTTGACATTGCCAAGGCGTTCGACAGGGTCTGGCACAAAAGCCTTCTCTCCAAGCTTCCGGCATACGGTCTGCCAGCCCAGTTCTGTTCTTGGGTAGCTGACTTCCTGCATGAGCGTAGAATTCGTGTCCTTACGGATGGTAGCAGTTCGCGGTTCATGTCAGTGAATGCCGGCGTTCCCCAGGGCTCCGACCTATCCCCCACTCTCTTTCTGCTGCATATCAATGACCTGATTCCTCTTGGGAATATTCATTGCTATGCAGACGATAGTACAGTGCATGCGGGGTATCTCGGAAAAGCAGCGGCTGGGCATGCAGTAACCAGGGAGAAACGGGAAAATCTTGTCATTGAACTCAATCAGGCTTTGGAACACATTTCCGAATGGGGTACCAGGAACTTGGTTGGGTTCAATGCCAAGAAAACTCAGGCTTGCGCTTTCACGGCAAAAACATCGCCATTCCTTCCCCTTCCATCTCTTCAGGGCACAACACTACCGCTGCAGAGCAACATTTCCATGCTCGGTATGGAAGTTCGCTCAGACCTGAATCCAAAGGACTACATCGAAACCGTGATCAAAACAGCTTCACGCAAACTCGGAGTCCTGAACAAGGTGCGGCGTTTTTTCACGCCCGATCAACTGTGCTTGTTGTACAAAACGCAAGTGCGGTCCTGCGTGGAATATTGCTCGCACCTCTGGGATGGCTCCGCCAAGTACTTGCTCGATGCTTTGGATAGGTTACAGCGGCGCGCGATCCGCATCATAGGCGATGAGGAGGTGACTAAACACCTTGAGCCTCTTCAATTACGCCGTGACGTGGCGTCACTAAGCGCATTCTATCGTTTGTACCACGGCGAGTGTTCTGAGGAGTTATTCTCTCTTATCCCACCTTCCCCTTTCCTTCAGAGGACCACGCGCGCTGGCCTACGTTGTCATCGTCTAACTGTGGCCACAATTCCAACGCGTACAAAGAAATTTGGTGACTCATTTCTTTGTCGCACTATCCGTAAATGGAATGCTCTGCCCGCTCACGTGTTCCCTCCCTCTTACAACCTGGGATCCTTTAAAAGAGGCGTGAAGAAGCAACATGCAGGCCGGCAGGGTGAGGACGGCTGGTGTGGCAGGTAGAACTGCTGTATCAGCTATCTTCGCGTCTGGACTTCACCTTCACTTAACATCAGGTGGGGTGGAGTCATTTGTCGGACCTAACTATAAAAAAAAAAAAAAAAAAAACCATACCATAAATTTGAAATGCTAGTGGAGAGGTTCCGGGAAGGCAAAACAATTTAGTGACGTGATGTCAATAGAAGTTTGTGAAAGGCAAATATACCATTTTCAGTTTTTTTTATAATTATATGAAGATACATTAGAATTGCGTTTAGAGTCAAAGAAATAAGGTCCATAACCTTCCGCATATAGCAATAAGTTGTAACATTTTACGAGCTTCCATTTCGAACTGTCATTACTCTTTGACGCATGCGTTTTAATTAAGACCTTATACACTATGCATTAAAGGTGACTTTAAATGTTTAAATAATGCCTTATATTGTTTTTGACTACGCGATCATCCTAAGGAGCTCCGTGGATCGTCCAATGTACCTTTTGGACAGGTTTCGGCCACGATTTTGTTCGTGTTGTATCTAGGGTATTTAATATCGTTGGTGTATAATTTAAACTTTATCTATGTTTTAGTTTTTGTTCTTAGCGCTTACCACTTATACCATCAAGCGGGTAGAGTATGATATCTAGTATTTATCCCCAACAGTCAGAGTACATAGCAGCGGTAGACGCTCGCAGGGAATGGCTGTCAGGGTTCACGGGTTCAGCCGGGACAGCCGTGGTGACTGGGACCGCGGCCCTATTGTGGACCGATGGCAGATACTACACGCAGTTCGAGAAGGAGACGGATGCGGACGTCTGGACGTTGATGAAGCAATGTAAGTAATAATAATAATAAGTTTTATTGGCTCGAACAATTATGTGATCTTTAACTTATGACCAGCATTTCTTTTTAAACTTAAATAGTTTCAGGCGATTCTGCTCGTCCTTAAAATAGATAATACAGTCGAGAACTCGACTTACGTCGTTTCAAGTTACTTCAAACAATGTATTGACGCTATTCCTCGTGCATACGTAAATTGTTTCGATTTCCGGCATAGGAGAATTCAGGTCAATGTTCGTGGGGCCGGCGTCCGTGGGGATGTCTCGACTTACGTCATTTCGATTTACGTCGCGTATTTCTAGAACCTAACATGCCATAAGTACGAGGTCTGCCTGTATAAAATTGTAATTATTTCCAACAAACTATGACCAAGATCTAATCAGTTTAGAAGTAAGGTGTTTGTGCCTACTTAAGTGTATATATGTTCGTGTGTGTGTGTGTGTCTGTATATGTTAAGGTCACCCGCCGTATTAAATATCATTGTATGTATGTAAATAAATGAACGTTTCATTTCCTACAGCTTTACCCGATACACCTTCGATAGAGAAATGGTTGTGCAGCAACCTCACGGAGGGCGCTAGAGTGGGGGCAGACCCGTTTGTCATGACCAAGGACCTATGGACTACCCTGCAGGTAAGTTCAAATGTTTAATACAGGCAGCAGTCCTTGACTTACGTCGTTTCGATTTACGTCGTTTCAAGTTACGTCGAACAATATTTTGACACTATTACTCAAGCATACGTCAATTGTTTCGATTTCCGGCATAGGAGAATTCACTTGTCGCGAGGTCAACCCTTGAGTGTTACATGTAAACATATGAAAGAATGTCTCGACTTACGTCGTTTCGATTTACGTCGCATATTTCTAGAACTTAACATGCAGTAAGTACGAGGACTGCCTGTAGAGTTTTTCATTTGGACACCTATATTACAATACCTTATCTATATCTATATATATAAAACTCAAAGGTGACTGACTGACATAGTGATCTATCAACGCACAGCCCAAACCTCTGGACGGATCGGGCTGAAATTTGGCATGCAGGTAGATGTTATGACGTAGGCATCCGCTAAGAAAGGATTTTGATCAATTCTGCCCCCAAGGGGATAAAATAGGGAATGAAATTTGTATGAAACTTTGTCAATTTTAAACCGATCGGGCTGAGACTTTGCATGCAGGTATATATAATAAGAATCATAGATGAATGTCATTGTGTATAATACAAGCCTGAGAACAAAAACTGTAGTCTACACTTCAGCTCTACACCGAAGCGAAGCGAGGGCGGGCCGCTAGTCCTAACTAATATTTTAAATGCGATAGTGAGTCTCCTTATTTGTTTGTTACGTTTTTACGACTCAACCATTGAACAGTACCCCTAGCACGACCCATTATCGAAATCGAATAGTTTGCGAGTGCGAAATGTCATTGTTAAATGTGTATTGATTTTTAGTTCCCGTTACGTCCGTTATGGCGCTGTACCCTTAGCACGAACCAATACACATTTGACAATGACAATTCGTACTCGCAAACTATTCGAATTCGATATTGGTTCGTGCTAAGGGTACTGATGTGCACACATTTTTTTTTGTTTTGTCTACTGCTTTCGCCTATCAAGCTCAGTTTTTTTCCAGATGGCTCTAGTCAAAGCCAATATGCATCTGGTGGCCGTTCCAAATAACCTGGTAGACGAAGCGAGGGTTCACTTGAATGACTTAGCACCAGCAAGACCGAATAACGCTATTGTCCCGCTACCAATGAAATATACAGGTAAGTTAAAAAGCCTGTGTGAAATATACAGGTAAGTTAAAAAGCCTGTGTGAAATATACAGGTATGTTAAAAGGCCTGTATGAAATATACAGGTAAGTTAAAAGGCCTGTATGAAATATACAGGTAAGTTAAAAGGCCTATTATACTACCCCATTTTAAGACACCCTGACTAAGAGTAGTGTAATAATAGTTAGGGAGTAAGGTAATATTAAAGTATTCATTATATTTTTCTGGATTAGTTATTTAGGTAATTTTATTGTTTTTTTAGCAATTATAAATAGAAATGTTCCTTTTGCATGCTGCAGTATATGGATCATCACCATCAGCGTAATAATGTCCTTACTGCTGGAGCACAGGTCGTCCCTATTAATGGAATAGGGAGATTGGGCCATGCCCCACCACGCGGGCCCAGTGCGGATTGGCGGGTGCTAACGACTGCAGATGCAGCCGGGGCCAACGGCTTACCGTGCCTTCCGAAGCACGGATAGCTCGAGATAGAAGACTTTTGGTCACCCATCCAATGACCATCCACTGCCAAAGTTGCTTATCTTTAACGATCGCAGCCGAACGCGCTAACCACCCGCGCCATCGGTGCCCCAGCAGTGGGGACATTAATAGGCTGATGATGACGATGATGATGATTAATAACCAATTTACCGCACTAATATTATAAATAACTATTTTATTTGAATATATGTTCGCCAGGTCAATCCGCTGGGGATAAAATAAAAATATTACGAGAGAAAATGGTGGAGAAGAAGGTAGCTGCCTTGGTAATCACGGCCTTAGATGAGGTTGCATGTAAGTAAATTAATTATTTAGAATACTAGCAAACCAGTGAACGAAATGTTCACCAAAAAAAAAATGTATTTAATTAATTGAGAACTTCGGAGATTTTGTGTGGTTTCGTTTGAAATAGAAATCACGTGATTTCTCGAAAACCGGAAGTGCTACGTTACTCACATCCGGTTTGTAGTCTTATCAGACTATTCTTAACTTATAACTTAAACATTCTGTATATCTATCTCTTACGGTTTGGCCGCTGAAACAGCACCACGGACGGACGGACGGACTTGTCTAATAGATAAGAGATACACACTGCGAGTGTACATATATTTATACACACACTTTTACTCAAATACGTTCCTTATTAAAAAACGACGGGTTGCACTCCGGGAGTGCCGGCAGAAGTGAAAACTTGAATATTAATGTTGTGCATTTTTGATATTTTGGAATGGTTAGAGAATAATTTTGCACGATTTACTTTAATTATCAGTATACAAGTACTATTATGTATGTGGTAGAATACAATATTCATTTATTGCGCTATCGTACACAAATATGACAATTTTTATTACATTAAAAAAGTTTATCTATCAGAAAAATCAACTTACATGAATCACGTTTAAGCGCACTTAGCGACATCTATTGCAAAAAAAAATGCAATTTCTTCGCAATAAAGCTGCCACGTAGACGTCCTAGATAGGGACTTATTATTATAATATGATAAAATAAAATACTATGTTTCGTCCAATATATTGAAAGTCAACAACCTTTCCAATTTTATTGTGTGTCATGATGCGATCTGCCCACGTGTTTAACCTGACGCTAGTTTAACATTTTTTACTCATATTTGTTTCTTAGGTTTTCACGCACATCACTCATTAAATAAAACTAGTTTTTTACGGGTTAATGCACGAAACTTTATTTATTTATTGACGTTTCGTAGCCTAAGTAAAGGCTACGAAACGTCAATAAATAAATAAAGTTTCGTGCATTAACCCGTAAAAAACTAGTTTTATTTTTTACTCATACAAAAAAAAAAGTGTACAACGCCGCTAAAGAAGTTTTCACTTCAAAAATAAAATAATGTTGCATTATACAGGATGTACAAAACAATGGAATAGATAATGATGAAACATAAATGAAGTATGTACTACATAATCTTACTAATGTTATAAAGGCGAAAGTTTATGAGTGTTTGAGTGTGTATGTTTGTTACTTCTTCACGTCTAAACGGCTGGAGCGATTTTAATAAAATTTGATATGGAGTTAGCTGACACCCTGGATTAAAACACAGGCTACGTTTTACTGCGGGAAACTATCCCTTATTAACCGCGGGGCACAGCTATTAAGTAGTAAAGTATAAGAAAAAAAATCCGTTTCGTTTTAAAGTTATTAATATCTAAAGTTTCGTTACTAAATCTGTATAATTTCAATGAATAAACATAGTTTTTGTCGTAATAACATTATTTTATATGAAAATGAGTTATATATGTGGCGGCGACATCTACATACCCCATTTTGACGACCTCCGTGGCCGAGTGGTTTGTACGCCGGGTTTCATGGCTGTCGCCGACTCGAGAGGTCTCGGGTTCGAATCCCGGTGGGGGCAGATGTTTGTGTGATGAATACGAGCATTTGTACTCCAGTCATGGATGTTTAATATGTATTTATATAAATATACTTATATATGTACAGTATATGTATTCTATCCGTTACCCTAGCGTCCCATAACACAAGCCTTATAGTGCTTACTTTGGGGCTAGACTAATTGGTGTGTGTCGGAAATATTTATTATTTATATAATCAACATGACGGAAAAATAATCATTCGCCTCCTCAAGAGATGGCGCTACCGGCGCTGCGCTTACAACGTATGGAAGCCTACATCGCGTTAGGGAAATTCGGACGCTAACACTCCATAGAGGAGCTCGATGGCGCAAGTGGTTAGCGCGTTCGGCTGCGATCATCGAACTTAAGCAACTTTCACAGTGGTCGGGCATTGGATGGGTGACCAAAAATTAATATCTCGAGCTCCTCCGTGCTTCGGAAGGCACGTTAAGCCGTTGGTCCCGGCTGCATCTGCAGTCGTTAGTACCCAACAATCCGCACTGGGCCTGCGTGGTGGGTCATGGCCCGCACTCCCTATTCCATCCATAGGGAAGGCCTGTGCCCCAGCAGTGGGGACATTAATAGGCTGATGATGAACACTCCATATATACAATGCCCGACCGACACGAGTCGAGCCGCGGCCCCTGAACAACTATCACCCAACTCGGAGGAAGACCTTCCCCTTTGGGCTTCCTACATATATATAATTTTAATCAGATTATTTTTCTGCGTCGATCTGTTTATGTTTCGTAAAGATTTGCGTATTTTTTGGCGCTTAAGCACAACGAAATTAAATACCCTAGATACACAACGAGCGCTCAAAATGTGTCCCAATCAAGAAGTGCTTGAACTCCACTCAAGCACTTCTTGGTTCACAGTCACGCGCGGACCGTTACAAAGTCAAGATGCCACAGAGCTCCGCGAAAAAATGCGAAAATTATACTTAGAGTACGAAAAGTGTCGTTTTTTCGACAGGTATCTAGTCAATATTTGTTAATGTTAAATTAATTTAACGCATTTTAAGTAAATTTTGTAATAAAATTTAATACTTACTATAAACTGATTTAATATAAAATATTTGTGATATTCAAATGCATGGTCGGTTATACGTCGACATATAGCCGTCTCTTTTCCTCGCGGCCCGTGCCTGCTATATTGCTAACAGCGCGTTCAGAATTGCGCGTAGAGTCAAAGAACTAAGTTCTAAATTCTTCCGCATATAGCAATAAGTCGTAAAATTTTACGAGCTTGCATTTCGAACTGTCAGAAGTCCTTGACGCATACGTTTTATTTAAGACCTTATACAGTATTTATTAAAGGTTACTTTTAATATTAAAATAATGCCTTATATTGATTTTGACTACGCGATCATCTTACGGAGCTCCTTAGATCGTTCAATGTACCTTTTGGACAGGTTTCAGGCACGATTTTGTTTGTGTTGGTGTATCTAGGGTATAAATTTAATATCGTTGCTTAAGCAATTCAATTTTTTGGAGATTTTTATTGTTCACAACGTTGAAGCGACATAGATTTTGGTGTTTTATGAACCAATGGCTCTTACGCCCTACTATTTGGCGTATGATTGAATGTTCGCTTGACCATAAATGTATGGCGGGCCATGTGATTTAGCTTAAGCGACATCTAATTCGTAAAGGCACTATGTAACTTTTTAATAGGAGGATATTTAGAAAATATTTTTTTATGAATATGTTTTTATTTTTACGGCGCTATGTTCTCATTTACAATGAGTGGTTAGCGCGTTCGGCTGCGATCGTTGAAGTTAAACAACTTTCACAGTGGTCGGTCATTGGATGGGTGACCAAAAATTTACTATCTCGAGTTGCTCAGTGCTTCGGAAGGGACGTGAAGCCGTTGGTCCCGGCTGCATCTGCAGTCGTTAGCACCCGCCAATCCGCACTGGGCCCGCTTGGTGGGTTTTGGCCCAAACTCCCTATTCCATCCATAGGGAAGGCCTGTGCCCCAGCAGTGCGGACATTAATAGGCTGATGATGATGATTTATTTGTGAAAAAAAAGGACATTGATCCTCGTTTCTGTGATACAAAAGATATACATACATATACGATACAAAAATGGCGTTTAAGTGATTTTCATTTTCCACTGTCGATATTGTTTTTTTACGTAATATGTTAGTTAATCAATAATCATCATCATCAGCCTATTAATGTACCAACTGCTGGGGCACAGGCCTTCCCTATGGATGAAATAGGAAGATTGGGCAATGACCCACCACGCGGGCCCAGTGCGGATTGGCGGGTGCTAACGACTGTAGATGCAGCCGGGACCAACAGCTTAACTGCCTTTGTGCCTTTCGAAGCACAGAGGAACTCGAGATAGAAGATTTTTGGTCACCCATCCAATGGCCGACCACTGCGAAAGTTGCTTAGCTCCTCGTTAATCAATCATCCATACATTTTTGTTTATCTCACACAGACACTTTAAACCTGCGCGGCAGCGATATCCAATACAACCCCGTGTTCTTTTCGTACCTGGTGATTACCCCATCTTCTGTGGTATTATTCTGGGGAGACGGGAGTTTACCCCACGATGTGGAGAAACAGTTGACTGTAGAAGGGGTAAAAGTGGAAGGGAGGGGGTATGGGGAGGTTGTGACGTATTTACAACAATTAGCGGTGAGTACGATGATATTGCCTTTAACAATGTAGAGTTCATTTTAAAGGCATTTAAATAAAAAAAGCGAGTGTGCTTATGACCACACGACTGAAGTGAAACTTCTTTAGCACCAATGATCTGAAAATCATAAACTTAACCTGAAGATTCGTTGATAGAAAAAAAAAACCCCAATCTGCGCTGGGTCAGTTATCATCCACCAATCCGCACTGGATCCGTTATCACCCACCAATCCGTTCTGGGTCCGTTATTACCCACCAATCCGCGCTGGGTCCGTTATCACCCACCAATCCGCGCTGGGTCCGTTATCACCCACCAATCCGTTCTGGGTCCGTTATTACCCACCAATCCGCGCTGGGTCCGTTATCACCCACCAATCCATTCTGGGTCTGTTATTACCCACCAATCCGCGCTGGATCCGTTATCACCCTCCAAACACTAGATTCATGTATTTTGTGACGGGTATTGTTCATTGTTTACCGATGAGTCACCGATGACACTAATCGTAACGCGAAATCGTAACACATTCGCTAGTTTGCCCCCCACAGTCAAGCGTGCCTAAAGAAGTTTCACCTCAATAATTGACGACCTTCGTGGCCGAGTGGTTTGTACGCGGGGTTTCATGGCGTCGCCGGCTCGAGAGGTCCCGGCTTCGAATCCCAGTGGGGGCAAATGTTTGTGTGATGAACACTAGCATTTGTACTCCAGTCATGGATGTTTAATATGTATTTCTATATAAATAAACTTATATATGTACAGTATATGTATTCTATCCGTTACCCTAGTATTCCATAATACAAGCCTTATAGTGCTTACTTTGGGACTAGGCTAATTGTTGTAAAAAAAAAATGGTCCAAAAAATTTGTTTACAATTTCTATGTATTTTCTATGCTAAATCACTTTTTACTGTTTATTTGTATGATAACATGAGACAGAACAAAGAAAATATACTTAATCAGAGAAAATTCGACCTTATGTTTACCTGTGTACTTCCTTACCTAAAACATCTATTTAAATATTTAGAGAATTACTAGAAAAAGTTCCACGTGGACAGTCAGCAGACGGGACTCGAATCTGCACCCTTCGCTATCCGGGCGAATGCACTGACCATTATGCTACCGCGGCCCTGACGGCCGTGTCGGATTGTTGCAATTGGTCATTGCATTCGCGCGGATAGCGGATGCGGGTTCGAGTCCCGTCTGCTGCCTGGTCCGCGTGGAATGTTTTCTAGTATATTTTTTCTTGAGATTTAAACATCTAGCAGGTAAATGCTTAAAAAAATAGAAAAATATAGCTATGATATGTGGATGTATGTGAGGATTTCAATGGCGCAGGTGTTTAGCGCGTTCGGCTGCGATCGTAGAAGTTAAGCATCTTTCGCAGTGGTCGTTCATTGGATGGGTGACCAACCATCTTCTACCTCGAGTTCCTCCGTGCTTCGGAAGGCACGTTAAGCCGTTGGTCCCGGCTGCATCTGTCGTTAGGACCCGCCAATCTGCACTGGGCCGCGTGGTGGGTCAGGATCTCCCTATTCCATCCATAGGGAAGGCCTGTGCCCCAGCAGTGGGGACATTAACACGGTGCCGTAAAACCTATGTTAATATAGATTTTTGTGTTTATTTGTACAGCAACAAGAAGCAGGCGATGGCAACAGATCAGTATGGCTGTCCTGCGACGCCAGCGAAGCTATACACGTTGCTGCCTCTGGGGTGAGAATAAATCTTTACATAGCATTTTTACGTGTAAGAAAGAGAAAGAAAGAAAAAGTATTTATTGGCCTTACACTTACGTAGTTAAAAAAAATTGTGTGTGTCAGCTCCGACGCACGACTGGAGTTTACTCCTTAAGTTCGATAGTCTAACCAGACGCAAAAAGAGTTTATTTAACTTAAAAAAGATTGATACTGTATGAAAGGGTAAATTAACAAATTAATGAAAATAATCTTTATATATATAATTCTTCTGTGAGTGTGTATGTCACTGAACTTCTCTTAAACGACTGGACCGATTTTGATGAAATTTTTTGTGTGTGTTCAAGGGGATCTGAGAATGGTTTAGATTCACAATTTTGTCCGCTGGACAACCCCTATTTTTTTAGGGCGGTACGAAGTTCGCTGGGTCAGCTAGTTAGTATACATATATAAATATATATTTATTCATTTCATATACATTTATTATAACTAATCGACAAAATATTTTACATTAAACTTTTTACAATAGTCAATTTCAGATGTGCATAAATATATCATTAGGAATGTTGATAAATTATGTAATTATTATTATCAGACTATTATCATTTTTTTAAATATTAATTATATCAACAATGATGTCGATTCTGGCATGATTCTCTAAACTTAAAACTAAATTTAACATCGATTTCTCCTTTTCATTCTGTATTAAGAACGACAAGGATAGACTGTTGTCAAACTTAAGTTTAGGTTTAGAGAATCATGTCAGAATCGACACCATTGTCTGCATTATTAATTACAGTGACAAGTGGTTTATGGTAACTAAAATAAGACACATTGAAGTTCTTAGATACGTGGTTCACGAATCTTGAAAATACCGCATCAATGGTTGTACCATACCTCGTTGTCCCAATTGCTCTGTCAGAAACAATATCTAAATTCAGTTCAGATTTTAAAAATTTTATTAATGTCAATCCGTCATCTTTGTTTGTCAAAGTTGCGCGACATAGGATGCGGACCAAAAACGTAACGAGGTCATTCATCGATAGATTTTACTCCTCACATTTCCCTCATACCGGGCCCCTTATATATTATTATGCAAATCGATTCTTAAGAAGTAAACTCCAAAAAAACAATAAATAAATGAATAAATAGAAAACGGGTTGCACTCCGGGAGTGCCGGCAGAAGTGAAAACTTGAATATTAACGTTGTGCATTTTTTATATTTTGGAATGGTTAGGGAATAATTTTGCACAATTTCTTTAATTATCAGTATAAAAGTACTATCATGTATGTGGTAGAATTCAATATTTATTTATTGCGCTATCGTACACAAACATGACAATTTATATTACATTAAAAATTTATCTCTCAGAAAAATCAACTTACATGAATCACATTTAAGCGCACCTAGCGACATCTATTGTAAAAAATGCATTTTGTGCGCAATAAAGCTGCCACCTGGACGTCCTTATTAGAGACTTAATATTATAATACGATAAAATCAAATATTACTATGTTTCCTCCAATATATTGAAAGTCAACAAACTTTCCAATTTTATTGCTTTAGTCTTACGAATTTTCGATTGTCAGGTGTCCGGATGCGATCAGGCCACGTGTCCCGACGCGAGTTTAACATTTTTTACCCATTACAAAAAAAGTGTACTACGCCGCTAAAGAAGTTTTCACTTCAAAAACAAGCATAGAGCAACAATATGGTGATAACAATGGCGGTGGAGATGACGCTAGCGGTAAACAAATATGTCATAAAAATGACAAAATCCTATGGATAGTTTGTAGTTCAAATTTTTGCCACCGGCACAGAAAAGTTTGTGGTACTGGACTGCGTTCAAAACCTACGCTCCGAGTGCAATTTTTTAAGTAATAATTTTGCCAGCATTCAATATTTTCAGTTACCATACCGAAAAGTAAATAAATGGTATCAATTACAATTTTTTAATATTTTTTTTAAAACAAGCTTTTGTAAGTCCTTTTATTTGTCACCCATATTTTACAAAAGCAGAAAACACTTAGTCCGCCATCTTTAGAAATTCGCTATTTTGGGTTTAGAGTGATAATGGTATCGATTCTGGCGTGATTCTCTAAACTTAAAACTAAATTTAACATCAATCTCTCCTTTTCATTCTGTATAGAGAATGACAAGGATACACTGTTGTCAAATTTAATTTTAGGTTTAGAGAATCATGTTAGAATTGACCCAAGTGTCACTTTATTTCAAATTGACGACTCTGTATATAATACAGGGAGAAAAAAACAGCCCTTGCTGAGTTTCTTGCCGGTTCTTTTCAGTACAAGGTCTCTCGCCGTAGATTTGCGAACCGATGGTGTAGCTTTTCGACATTCACAAGTGCTTGTAACAGCCTAGACTGAATAAATGATATTGAATTTTGAATTTTTCTGGAGTTTTAAGCATTGTATTGGATGTCCATCCTTTTGCTCCCAGTCCGTCAAAGCGTAGTACAGGAAATGTTTGTTATTTTTCTTACAGCGTGACGTCATGGAGAAGCCATTGAATTTGATATCAGAAGTGTCTCCGGTAGCGCTGATGAAACTTATTAAGAACGACGTGGAATTAGAGGTGAGTGTGTACGTGGACTGACCTACTGAGGAAATTGCCTCGATATATATAAAAATACTAAAATTAATTTGTTGGCGCCAAACAAGAAAATCTTTTAAAATGAGTTGCGCTATTAAAATTTACTGTTTCACAAAACAAAGTATTTTTTGCCCCTCCTAAAAAAATTTCATGCTTTATAATAATTATTTCGTATAACAAAACCAAAAAAATGGTGAGAGATTTTTTGAAACACAAAATAAAACTCCAGATTTAAGGCAAAATATTGTCTTTTATTTGTTTGTAACGAATCAACTCTAAAGGCCATATTATAGAAAGATTCTCAGTGATTGATTCAGTCTTGAGCATAGTTAGAAAGTACAGTACTCAAGTAAAGATCAACACTTAGTTATCATTCTGTAATACGGGCCTTAAACTTCGGAATTGATTTCAATCCGTCTTTCACCGTTAGAAAACTACATTATTCATGAGAAACATAAAGCTTAATTTTATTGCGATAAGAATGCTTTCTAAAGCGTGCTAATGAGCAAAAAACAGGACCGCCCTCAGAGGACAGAGGACACTCAAGTGTCCTCGGACGTTTGACCGGAAAAAAAACTTTTATGACACTCAACTGCCATGGGATGTTTGGCATGTTCATGCATTACCATGCATTAGGTTCATGCATTAGGGGGACCAAACCATTACATTAGATTTGATAAACCACAGATCCTTGCAACTGAGCAACGTTTCGTTCCTAGAATGATGCGCGAAGCTATTGAGATTAAAAAATATCCAAAGGACAATGGCAAAATATTTGTTGAAGTAAATCTATAGCGTCTATAGATGTCATTATCAGAAATGTTAATAAAAAAATCTCAAAAGATTTATTAAACAATTGAGGAGGGTTGTCTAAGTCTGGAATTAAAAACTTAAAAAAAGGGAAACACAATTGACTATTTATTTTTTATTTTTATTGTGGCTTGGCCATGATGGCTTTTGAGTCATTCATTTTAAGTGATTTTAGTGATGAAATCAACTTTAAATATGTTGTTCGTATGTTTTGCATCGCTTTACGCTTGAACTGTAATTATCTATAAAAAATATCCTGAAACATTATTTTTAAATATTATACTGAAACAATATTAAATAATCTCCACAATACAAAAAGAGTATGGCGACAATTCTAACGAAAAAAAACTATAAAAACTGTCACTGTCATGCTTGTCATCGAATTGTTGTTGTTATTGTTATCATTATTTAACATTGTTTGTGCTTAGGTGCATGCATATTGCAAAGATTTCAATCGGCGTATTGTGTTTTTCTGAGATTTGTTTTTTTATGTGACTTGGACTGTATTTGGACTTTCGAAATCTTTCTCTGCGACTGTTGAGTAGTGCTTGCCTAAGACTTCCCAATTTGATATTTTGCTGTGGATTTTGGACACGATTCTGTCCCATACTGTGGATTTTATTTCATTGTATCTACTATCTACGATATTGTGATCAACAATGTGGAATAAAAAATATATAAAATTGTTGCATATTTAATTAATATCCCATTAGTACATTATTAGAAATCCTTTTTTATACTTTATTATTGCAGTGGGCATTTTCAAATTGTTAAGTACTTCTTACAGCACAGACATTGTATTTGAACTCAATAACTCTTGTCTGATAATAAGTATTTTGACGCGGTTGGTCAGTACCTACGCCAAAGAAAGAAAGAAAGAAAGAAAGCCAACTGATCATACATTGTAAAATTTTTTTTTTTTCGTCACTAATCTTCAGGACCGGTATACTTCTATAGTTCCGTTCCACGTATTTTTTATTTTGGTATAAAAATACTCTTGAAAATACTTTTATAATTCGTTTTTACATTACTTGTTAGGATATAACCTCCAAAACTTCAAAGTAGAATATCTACTTCCTATAATATAACAAATAAGATGAATCAAATCAAGAATATAAACTCTATAATTTAACATGCAATTCATTTATAGACGCAAGAAAAAATTTCAACAAAAAATTGTATGGGAGTTGGCCATTGTCCTTTCAATAGGGAAGATGGTTGGTATATACCACCAGCTTGGGAACCCATTATACAGGAGATAAAATCCCAACCCCGAGCACACACTGCAAGACCAACAGATACTAATAGTTCTTTTTGTTTGCATAATTTAACATAAGAAGGAGATAGAAAGCCTCTTTTGAGTTTGTTTCGCCGGTTCTTCTCAGGAAGGTCTCCCAATTTTGGAACCGGTGGTAGTTTACGGTAGTTAGGGTCAAAAAAATAAACTCAAAATTACAAAAAGAATTTTAAACAAAGTACTTTATTAACTAAATTAAGTAATAAATTCTACATAGACAATAAAATTTTTAAAAATCGAACAATGAAATAACCGAACGCTCAATAAAAAGTCTTTCGAAGGTAGCTCGACAAATTTAAATAAAATTTGATTCTGACGACGTAGCCTGTAAAGGCTACGAAACGTCAATAAATAAATAAAGTTTCGTGCATTAACCCGTAAAAAACTAGTTTTATTTATTTCATCATTTTTATATCTATCGCATTAGCAAGACAGTGTTTTTGTAATCAATCAACTCCGCAATTTCGCGGGATACCAGGTTTGATCCCCGGTGGGGTAAACTTATTTGATGCCTCCCCGTAACAAAATTATAATGCTTTATAATAATTATTTTTTATAACAAAAACAAAAAAAATGGTTCCTCCGTGCTTCGGAAGGCACGTTAAGCCGTTGGTCCCGGCGGCATCTGCAGTCGTTAGCACCCGCCAATCGCATTGAGCCCGCGTGGTGGGTCATGGCCCAATCTCCCTATTCCATCCATAGGGAAGGCCTGTGCCCCAGCAGTGGGGAAATTAATATGATGATAAGGGAGTAAGCGCAAGGTTCTCTTCAAAACTCTTTTTAAAGCTCTCAGTTTTAATATAACTTTATAGAATTTCAACAAGTATCCGGCTAAGTAACTAGTAATTAAGTCCAATCAAAAACTCAGGGTTTCCGCGCTTGCCACATCCGGGATGGGGTTGCAGTGGTACGCTTCTTCAATTGGCTCCACAACCATTTGGGCGCTAACAAGATCGTTACCGAAGTACAAGCTACGGATAAATTGCTTGAATTCCGCAAGTAAGTATAATTTGAAGATAAATATATAAAGTATGGATTTTTTCCAACGATATTAAAATACCCTAGATACACCAATACAAACAAAATCGTGCCCGAAACCTGTCCAAAAGGTACATTGGACGATTCACAGAGCTCCGTAAGATGATCGCGTAGTCAACAACAATATAAGGCATTATTTAAACATTGAAAGTTACCTTTAATGCATACTTTATAAGGTCTTAATTAAAACGCCTGCTTCAAAAAGTTATGACAGTTCGAAATGCAAGCTTACGACTTTTTACTATATGCGGAAGAATATATCCTTATTTCTTAAATTCTAAGTGCAATTCTAAATGCGCTGTTAGCAATATAGCAGGTACGGACCGCGTGGAAAAGAAAGGCTATATTACATATCACATTTTTTTCCATTAAATCAGTATTAGAACAAAATTTGCTTCAAATGCGTTAAATTTACAAAAATTGATTTTATACCTGTCGAAAAAAAAACGACACAACGTACCATAAGCATCTTTTTTGCATTTTTTCACTAAGCTCTGCGGCATTTTGACAACGGTCCGCGCGTGACTGTGAACCAAGAAGTGCTTGAGTGTTGTTCAAGCACTTCTTGATTGGGACACATTTTGAGCGCACGTGGTGTATCTAGGGTATTTAGTATCGTTTGGTTTGACATTTAGCGCGATCGGCCTCCTGATTAACTAGAACGGATGAACTTTTTTTCTTTAATAACGGTACAACTATTTCGTTGGTCTAGGAAGGATTAACATTATTAACATTAAAAATACATTTTACTTCTTATGAGTGCAACTTTAAACTATAAACATTAAATTATTTTGAAAACACATATACATTATATTATTTTGAAAAAAGTACCTGGAGGCTGTGGTACTGAAAAGGGGAAAAATCTCTTCTTTCATTTATTTTTATATAACAATAGATCTGATTTTATTTATTTTTTAAGCATTTAACTGCTAGATGTTTAAATCTAAAGAAAAGTTTAGCAGTTAAATGCTTAAAAAATAAATAAAATCATAACTATAATTGCTATTTCTTCTTTCAAATGTTTAATACTTGAAAAAGTATTCATTTTACATTGTGGGTTGCCTACAATGCGAAGAGATGGCGCTGCCTTGCAGCTTAAGGCTAGAAAAATTTCGACGCGGCTAATAGGGCCGTGGTAGCATAATGGTCAGTGCATTCGCCCGGATAGCGAAGGATGCGGGTTCGAGTCCCGTCCGCTGCCTGGTTCGCGTGGATTTTTTTCTAGTAAACTTTTCTTTAAAAATAGATCTAACAATGGATAGAATTTTGTAGCCAAGGGTACAGCAGTTACATTTAATTTCCACTGTACCCTAAAGGGAACAGGCTACACATTTTGGACGATTCAAAAGAGTTGTATTATACATCCAATTTGAGTAAAGATATATTGATTTCTGATTTATGATTGACATATAAACGGTATATACTAGAGATGGGCTGGCAAACTGACTAATTAGTTCTCAAATTGCCGACTAGTATATGGCGGCCATATAATTATAAACTTTTATTTTTAACTGATAGTGAAACATTTGTTGCGTAGTTTTCGAACATTGCTCTACTGCTTAGGTTTAAAACAAAAAGGGAAGATAAGGCATTCGCGGCTCAAAAGTGATCCGCTTAAATTGTGGTGAATGACCACAATACGCTTTAGTTACAATTGGACATTCAAACACGCTGCATGTGCACTCAATATAACAATATTGCGTATATTCTGTGTTATAAAGGTAAAACAATGCCTTCGATGCTTTTATAAAGAACACAAATAGTTTAAAATCAAATAACAAATGCCTCGGTAACACTTTTCATAAGTAAAACTGTAAAATCATTTTTTCTCATAAAGCACGGTTTGTCGTGAATGTTATTTACGTAATCGCCATTTTGTTATCAAGAAAAGGACAACAATACAGCTCAGTCGTGCGGACTCGGAAGCGGACTCGCCGTTTCGCTCGCGCTGCGTTGAAGCGTACAGTTCTGTCTCGCTCGCTCGATTGAATGTTTATATACAGACGTGTGCGTGTGTGAGAGTTGCTTATGTAGTTGAGTCGGATCATATTTTATTTGATGAGCATAAAAATTGCTGTTTGTTTTGAATCTTATTCGGTAGTGACGTCGAGTACTGGTCGCGTGATTGGTCAGTAGTGCAGTGACGCGGATCTCGCCGTCTCGTTCGCGCTGCCGTTGAAACTTAACGTGCTGTTTCGTTCGGGTCGGTAATGCAGTGACGCGGATCTCGCCGTCCCGTTCGCGCTGCCGTGGGACCAGTTTTTGTTTAATGCAAGAATGAGCGTACCGTATCTTCCCTTTTTGTTTTAAACTAAGCATATATCCCGAAGACTGACGGTTCACTAGTATTTATACAGCTGTCACTGTAGCTGTCAAACGTCAGATAACGTTGATTATTAGCTAGTGATGCCAACTCATTCGCCCAATAGACCCAAGTTGGTTCCGGCTTGACTTCCGTTCAAACAATCCACGACATATTTCTATTTTTATTTGACGACCTCCGTGGCTGAGTGGTTTGTACGCCGGGTTTCATGGTGTCGCCGACTCGAGAGGTCCCAGGTTCGAATCCCGGTGGGGTGCAGATGTTTGTGCAATGAATACGAGCATTTGTACTCCCATCATGGATATCTTTATATATATAATTCTTCTGTGAGTGTGTATGTCACTGAACTTCTCTTAAACGACTAGACCGATTTTGATGAAATTTTTTGTGTGTGTTCAAGGGGATCTGAGAATGGTTTAGATTCACAATTTTGTCCGCTGGACAACCCCTATTTTTTTAGGGCGGTACGAAGTTCGCTGGGTCAGCTAGTTAAATATATATTTATATATATAAATATACTTATATATGTACAGTATATATATTCCATCCGTTACCCTAGTATTCCATAACACAAGCCTTATAGTGCTTACTTGGGGGCTAGGCTTATTGGTGTGGGTGTTGGAAATATTTATTTATTTATATTAACTACAGAGAAGAAGAGGATTTCATGGGTCCATCATTCGACACCATAGCCGGGGCAGGGGCAAACGGGGCAATAATACACTACACTGCGTCCCGGGAGGGTCCACAAACACCCATACTCAACGACCAGATGTTCCTATTGGACTCCGGGGGACAATACAGGTATGTTTTTATTTAATTAGGTTATTAGTATTTGACAAGTTTTACAAAGCGATCTCACGTTATTTTACTTTAGTAAAAGAATCTAAATTAAAAATTCAATTTTGAAATTGCCACGAAACAATTCTTTGGACTTTATGGCGGGTGTATTCCGAAATGTACATCAGTATACTGGCCAGTGGTAATGACGTCACGAATCCGACGCCATATTGTACTGGTATGCTACCATATTTTTACCCGGAAAACGAATATGACGTATGACCGAGCGTGCGTGAGATGCATTAGAATTTTATTTCTTTTTTATTTAAAGAACAATAACGGCATCCGAACAAAAAGAATTCCTTTTAATTGATGAGATGAATAAAAAATCTTGTATATTCGCACTATTTTTAATATTTCCTCGATTTATGACGTCAATGCACTGGCCAGTATATTTCGGAACAATTCACCAGTATAGCGTCGATTCATGACGTCATTAGCACTGGCCAGTATACTGGTATATATTACGGAATACACCCTTAATGTGATTTAAATAAAACAAGTTTCAAGGGTATAGACACGGTAATAATATCATACAGTATTCTATCTTCATACAAACGGTCGGAAAGCGAGTCATACCTACGCCACTCGAGTTCGATGTGCTCTCGGCGGGCACCCAGTCGCGAATGCGCCACCGCGCCGCAACGACGACCGAACGGTCAGAATTGTTTTTATGCAGTTAGCCGTGCTTAAACATGCGTTTTGTATTGTAAATATTTGATTGAATTAAGTAGATACCTACATAATTTAGTATGGAACAGAACAAACGGCGATCAATATCGTACAACAGCGCAATTGGTGTTTTTGGTTGCTTGAACTCTTCAATAACACACCCAGAGATATCATTTTTTAAATTACCTGAAATATTGGAAAGGTGTCTTACTTTTATAGAATATTTTTTATATACCTATCTACTAGTACGTTATTTGTTTCTAATATTTAGGTATTTCGGTTTTTCCATCGGGCAAAATATCTGGAATAATGTATAAATAAGTGGTTAGGATGAAAAAAGAGACAAACGAGTAATCTACCTACACTCGCGTTAAAAACAAAACTACATAAAATACTGTAGGCGGGTGGCCCTACCGCGTGATAACGCAGCGCTCGGCCGTAGGCATTTATTTTCAAGGACAGGGCGGAGTCACAATACTGTATAGATAATATTACCGTGGTATAGATGCACTGTTTTATTTATTTATTGACGTATCGTCAATATCGGGATCATCCTTTTTGGGATGCGTCTTCGGAGTTATTAATACGACATCCTTTTCAGTTTGCGTAGACTGAACTATTAATACGATAATCACGGAAAGGAAGGAAGGAAACGTCAATAAAATCGCTGAATGTGTTGGTAAGCGCAAATCTCGAGAACAGCATGAACCGATTTCAATAATTCTTTTTTTAGAATATTCCTTGGATTGTTTGTCGTTTGGTTTGACATTTAGCGTGATCGGTGTCCTGATTAACTAGAACGTATTAACTTTTTTTCTTTCCTAACGGTAGGTACAACTATTTCGTTGGTCGATGAAGGAATGTTTTTAAAAATACATTTTACTTGTTATAAGTGCAACTTTTAACCATAAACATTATATTATTTTGAAAAAAGTACCTGGAGGTTCTGGTAATGAATGATAAAGGGAAAAATCTCTTCTTTCATTTCTCTATAATATAAAAATGAATCGCTGAATGTGTTACTAAGTGCAAATCTCGAGAATAGCTGAACCGATTTCAATAATGCTTTTTTTAGAATATTCCTTGAAGTACGAGGATGGTTCTTACGCAGAGAAAAATTTACAAAATTGCCTGAAAATGTCCAAAGACACTTTTCTATACTCCCATGCAAACGATTCGTAATAATACTTAAAAGTCAATTTGAACCTTAATACCATACAATAAATTTCAAATGTTAGTGGCAAAACAATTGAGCGACGTGATGTCAATAGAAGTTTGGAAAAGGCAAATCTACCATTTTCAGTTTTTTTATAATTACTTATAATGAAGAGTCATTTAAATCTACACTACAGCTCTACACCGAAGCGAAGCGAGGGCGGGCCACTAGTAACTAATTAAATCAGTGCATCTATACCGTTGAAATCTGTTTTATTTAATGATTGGTGTGCATGAAAACCTAATTGAAACAATGAAACAAATTAATGTGTGTTAACGCCATCTATCCTTCGAAGGGAGAAGCTACAATCGGTCCATCATCATCGTCCATTCATACATTCATTTCGTACCCATTCGTTACTATATTCACTCATTTTGATTTATATAGATTCACCCTCCCTCTTGCATTCGAATTCAAAAAAGACAACGTACGCACATAATTTTAATAAGATCTGTATTTTACTATGAATAATATTCTACAATTTGAATATCCGATTTTTATTGAGAAGTCCACATATAGAAGACACTAAGCTATCGAAAAATGTGTTTTAATAAAGGGATGGTACAACAGACATCACTAGAACTAGACACATGAGCGGTACTCCAACTCCTGACCAGAAGGATGCCTTCACTAGAGTTCTGAAAGGGCAGATGGCGATTGGCAGCGCGTTATTTCCACAAGGTGTTAAGGTAAGTGGAGCTCGATTTGGTGGTTAGCGCGTTCGGCTGTGATCGTTGAAGTTAAGCAACTTTCGCAATGGTCGGTCATTGGATGGGTGACCAAAAACTCTTATATCTCGAGTTCCTCGAGTGCTTCGGAAGGCACGTTAAGCCGTTGGTCCCGGCTGCATCTGCAGTCGTTAGCACCCGCCAATCCGCACGGGGCCCGCGTGGTGGGTCGTCCCAATCTCCCTATTCCATCCATAGGGAAGGCCTGTGCCCCAGCAGTGTTATTAAATTAAATATTATTTGTTTGTTTATTTTAATTTGCATGCCTTGTGGTGAAATATGGAATAAGCTTTTAACGTATTATAATTTAACACCTTTGTATCACCTGTATTTGCAAATAAATAATTGATTGATTGATTGACAATATTGTAATACAATATGATTATATATTTTTATTGAAGCTTTGAATGAGTACTTAATGTGACAAAACTCTTATTCTAAAATAAAAAAAATATATATTTACAATTAAACTAAAACTAGACAAAAAATTAAACTAAGTTATAAAAAAAATAGTTGCCCCAAGTCCTCCCTGTCGGCAAAAGTACCAAGGATACTAGGCAGCATTTCCCCGCTGAATGGCGTAATACAATTAAATAACACAACAAATAACAATTAAATAGAACAATTTTTGTGAGCGTTAACCATGTGTGGTCTGTGCACACTATTTTTTTTAAATATATTTATTATGTCGTTAGTCAAAAATTGTACTATAAATTTTACTTTATCATGTAGTTATAGTAAAATTGAACACCCAAAGTTTTCAGTTCCCGTCAAACTTTCCAAGGTTGTCTGGGAGAAATCGCTTTTAGCGCTAAGACCGCCAGTTGTAACACCCTAAATTATTTACAAAACGAAACGTCCTAGATAGTTATCTTATATAATCTTACAACAATGCAAAGACGTACACTACAATGAGAGTACCTATATTAATGAAACTGCCCCCCCCCCAGGGAAACGTGCTAGATAGTTATCTAATCTAACAACAATGCATAGACTAGAGTACCTATATTAATCAAACTGTCCCCCCCAGGGAAACGTCCTAGATAGTTATCTAATCTAACAACAATGCATAGACTAGAGTACCTATATTAATCAAACTGTCCCCCCCAGGGAAACGTCCTAGATAGTTATCTAATCTAATAACAATGCATAGACTAGAGTACCTATATTAATCAAAGTGTCCCCCCCCCAGGGAAACGTCCTAGATAGTTATCTAATCTAACAACAATGCATAGACTAGAGTACCTATATTAATCAAACTATCCCCCCCAGGGAAACGTCCTAGATAGTTATCTAATGTAACAACAATGCATAGACTAGAGTACCTATATTAATCAAACTGTCCCCCCCAGGGAAACGTCCTAGATAGTTATCTAATCTAACAACAATGCATAGACTAGAGTACCTATATTAATCAAACTGTCCCCCCCAGGGAAACGTCCTAAATAGTTATCTAATCTAACAACAATGCATAGACTAGAGTACCTATATTAATCAAACTATCCCCCCCAGGGAAACGTCCTAGATAGTTATCTAATCTAACAACAATGCATAGACTAGAGTACCTATATTAATCAAACGGTCCCCCCCAGGGAAACGTCCTAGATAATTATCTAATTTAATCTAACAACAATGCAAAGATTAGAGTACCTATATTAATGAAACTGTCCCCCCCAGGGAAACGTCCTAGATAATTATCTAATCTAATCTAACAACAATGCAAATACAAGAGTACCTATATTAATAAAACTGTCTCCCCCCAGGGAAACGTCCTAGATAGTTATCTAATCTAATCTAACAACAATACAAAGACTAGAGTACTTATAGTAATTCAACTCTCCCCCCCAGGGTAACGTCCTAGATAGTTTCGCTCGTAAATCCTTGTGGGACGTCGGGCTGGACTACGGGCACGGGACGGGGCACGGCGTGGGACACTTCCTCAACGTGCACGAGGGGCCGTCCGGTGTGTCCTGGAGACCTTGCCCCCACGATCCCGGGTTAAAACCGGGACAGATATTGAGCAATGGTCAGTGAGATTTTATTGGTGTTTTTGGTTATGTAGCGGCGACATCTATATGGCCCACATATATATAACGGATGGAGGAAATCATTACTCACCATCCTCAAGAGATGGCGTTACCTGCACTGCGATCATAATAGTATGGAAGCCTACATCGCGCAAATGAAATTCGGAAGCTAACTCTTCATATATACGATGCCCGACCAACATCAGTCGGGCCGCGGCCCCCGAGCTACCATCACCCAGCTCGGAGGAAGATCTTCCCCTTTGGCCTTCCTACAGTTATATATCATAAATCCATCGTCCACCTGACTTTTTAACCATCATTTCGTGCGTGTTTCAAAATGATTGCTCAACCATAAACATATATTTACATATATAAAATTTATTATATATATATATATATATATAGAAAACCTTTGGTGGTCAGAAATAACAAAATTAAATCGTAAGCGATAGCGATAGCCATAGCAATCCCGTTAGGCGATTGACCCCCTGGGCCTCCACACTTCTAAATCCGGTCCTGCTTTAAGACTTATTAGGCGTCGACTTACGAGTATATTCCAGTCTCTTATAAGCGGAAGCAATAGTCAATGGGATGACCGATTTTTTATGCTTATTTTTAATTCTCTCTTAGGTCATTTAGGCGCTGACTTACAAGTACGAGTATATTCCCATCCGTTAGTTCGTTGAATAAGACTTTACTAGCAAACCAGTGAACCAAATGTTCACAAAAAAAAATATATTTAATTAATTGAGAACTTCGGAGATTTTGTGTGGTTTCGTTTGAAATAGAAATCACGTGATTTCTCGAAAACCGGAAGTGCTACGTTACTCAAATCCGGTTTGTAGTCTTATCAGACTATTCTTAACTTATAACTTAAACATTCTCTTTATCTATCTCTTACGGTTTGGCCGCTGAAACAGCACCACGGACGGACGGACGGACGGACTTGTCTAATAGATAAGAGATTCAATACTAGCAGCGGGATTGAAACCGGGACAGATAGAGTTAGCAAATGATTAATGAAATGACAGTAATTTTCATATTTTTCATTTCTTAAGCATTTAACTGCTAGATGTTTAAATGTAAAGAAAATTTTTACTGATAAAAAATTTCACGCAGACCGGGCAGCACACGAGAATCGACGAGCGTGCGGTAAAATGTTTTACCGCACGCTCCTTTGTATGGCCCGTAACTTTGAACTTCGAACAGTGTATACAACCTGCGTAAATTAAATTTTTGAGCCAATGCGTTATGTGATTTTTTAAATTTATTTTTTCCTTAGAACCTGGGTACTACAAAGTCGGTGAATACGGGATACGCCACGAGGATCTGGTAGTGACTATAGCTGTCACTAAAGATTCCGAGCACCCCAGGGTAAGTTTACCAGGACTCCAAGACATGACCATGTTATTATATACTTAAACAGTAACAGACTCATTCCAAAACGTGGATTAAAGTTATTCTTAGTTTAAACCTAACGTTGTCTCTGGGTGTATTCCGAAATGTACACCAGCATGCTGGCCAGCGGTAATGACGTCATGATTTCGACGCCATATTAACAACTACTACACCAGTTCAATATGGCATCGAAATAATGACGTCATAACCGCTGGCGTATATTTCTGAATACACCTTCTGTCTTCTTTTTAGCTTTTTTTCTTTTTTTAATTAAGAATATTCACTCATTCATTCATTCATTCATTTCTTTTAATGAATGAATGAATGAATATTCTTTATTGCACTATTACACAAAATACATAAAATAGCAAACATACATAAAGTATACAGTTGGATAGCGAAAGTTGCGGGTTCGAGTCTGCTGCCTGGAATGCGTGGAATTTTCTCTAGTAAAATTTTCTTTTATTATAGGCCAAGAATTTAAGGGGTGATATGGAAGGAAGGGGTGTACTGGGCTTTGAAACCATTACGATGGTACCCAATCAACGGGAGTGTATTGACGTCAATCTGTTGGACGATTTCGAGGTAAGATACTTACAGCACCACTAAATCTATATATATATATAACTCAAAGGTGACTGACTGACTGACATAGTGATCTATCAACGAAGGCCAAACCACTGGACGCGTCGGGCTGAAATTTGGCATGCAGGTAGATGTTATGACGTAGGCATCCGCTAAGAAAGGATTTTGATCAATTCTACCCCCAAGGGGGTAAAATAGGGAATGAAAGTTTGTACGAAACTTTGTCAATTTTAAACCGATCGAGCTGAGACTTTGCATGCAGGTATAAGAAGAATCATAGATGAATGTCATTGTGTATAATACAAGCCTGAGAACAAAAACTGTAGTCTACACTTCAGCTCTACACCGAAGCGAAGCGAGGGCGGGCCACTAGCCTATATAATAAAATGTTAGGAAAGTCAAAACTGTACATCGAATATTTTTTTAAAGAATACTTGGGGTGTGATCTACAATCGATACCGAAGCCAAAAATATAGTCTTTAGAATTTTTGTCTGTTTGTCTGTATGTATGTCCGGGATTAACTCAAAAAGTACTGCATGGATTTACTTCAAATTTGGCACGAATATTATTAAGAAGTCGGGTCAACATATAGGCTACATATTACCACGCTATCACCTACGGGGAACGAGCAGTGAACCACTAACTCCACGCGTACGAAGTATTATTACCCTATTACCACTAACCTGAGGAGCTCGATGGCGTAGGTGGCTAGCGCGTTCGGCTGCGATCGTTGAAGTTAAGCAACTTTCGCAGTGGTCGGTCATTGGATGGGTGACCAAAAATTTACTATCTCGAGCTCCTCCGTGCTTCGGAAGCCACGTTAAGCCGTTGGTCCCGGCTGCATCTGCAGTCGTTAGCACCCACCAATCCGCACTGGGCCCGCGTGGTGGGTCATGGCCCAATCTCCCTATTCCATCCATAGAGAAGGCCTGTGCCCCAGCAGTGGGGACATTAATAGGCTGATGATGATGACACTAACCTTATTACCCTAAATTAACCTTAGTATTTTAACGACGTCCGTGGCCGAGTGGTTTGTACGCCGGGTTTTAAGGTATCGACCACTCGAGAGGTCCCGCGTTCAAATCCCGCCGGGGACAGATGTTAGTATGATATGAATATGAGCATTTGTTTAATATGTAGTTTTATCTAATATATAAAATTCTCGTGTCGCGGTGTTTGTGGTTAAACTCCTCCGAAACGGCTTTCCCGATTCTCATGAAATTTTGTGTGCATATTGGGTAGGTCTGAGAATCGGACAACATCTATTTTTGATCCCCCTAAATGTTAAGGGTATGTAGGAAGGCCAAAGGGGAAGATCTTCCTCCGAGCTGACTGATGTTGGTCGGGCATCGTATATTTGAACTGTTGGCTACCGAATTTTACTTGCGCGATGTAGGCTTCCATACTAATATTGATCGCAGTGCAGGTAACGCCATCTCTTGAGGATGGTGAGTAATGATTTCTTACATCCGTTACACATTACATATGTGGGGCATATAGATGTCGCCGCCACAGGTAATCCACCCCTAATTTTTTTTTTTCAATTTTAGATATTTTTTTTTATTTTTTTTATGATACAGCATTAGTAAATACATACAACCCTAAAGTTTCACTTTTCTACCACCAACCCCTATTTTTTATGGCGGTACGAAGTTCGCTGGGTCAGCTAGTCTTATATATGTTACCGGCCAAACCCGATTTCAGGACAAACTAGTTTTGCCTAGGCTAAACTGGTTCTTCCTATGCGCGATAGGATTAACTAGTATAGCCTAGTCCAAACTAATTTGTCCTAAGCCCGATAGGATAAACCAGTTTAGCCTAGGCCAAACTAGTTGATCCTGATAAAAATACGCATACTCTAGGATAAACTAGTATGGCCTAGTGTAAACATTATAGTATATCTAGAAAGTCAAAATAAATAGATAAACTGAATAAAATAATCCGTAATTGGAAAAATAATATTTTTTATTAAAACCATAATGATTCATCGTTACAAGTTATGGATAATTAGTAATACAAAGAAAAGTAAGAAAAGTTTAATTTTTCTAGTAAACTTTTCTTTAGATTTAAACACCTAGCAGTTAAATGCTTAAAAATAAATAAAAACACTAACTATAATTGCTATTTCTTCTTTCAAATGTTTAATACTTGAAAAAGTATTCATTTGACATTGTGGGTTGCGTGGTTGCAACCTACAATGCGAAGAGATGGCGCTGCCTTGCAGCTTAAGGCTAGGAAAATTTCGACGCGGCGAATAGGGCCGTGGTAGCATAATGGTCAGTGCATTCGCCCGGATTGCGAAGGGTGCGGGTTCGAGTCCGGTCCGCTGCCTGGTCTGCGTGGTTTTTTTTTCTAGTAAACTTTTCTTAAAATATTTTGAGTTTACAGTGAGATGAATTGTAAAAGGTTCGAATGATTCGGAATTTCTTAAGCCGGGTAGTTACTCATTGGCGAGCTGTAACCATAACCGTTGCACGCACTGTAACCAAAAAGCATAGTGTGTACGTGGTTCGATAACCTGCTGCGAGAACGGTACGCGTGCGGTTTGAAGCGAGCCAACGTTCACAACTGAGCTACTAGCGTACACACTAGAACTTCGTACTGTATCACGCATGTTACGGTAACAGATCGCTAATGCGTACCCGGCTTTACTGTCTTCCGAACTCCCGGCAACAACAAAAGAGTTAAACAAAAACCAATTACAGAAAAAACACTCCCTCCACTTTCTTCCAGCGTTCTTTTTACATGACGCGCCCTGTACAAGTCCTGACATGTTTGTTCAATTACTTTCCGCTTTGCTAAATTGGTTTAGACTAGGTCGTACTAGTTTATCCTAGAGTGTGCGTATTTATATCAGGATCATCTAGTTTGGCCTAGGCTAAACTGGTTTATTTTTTTATTTTTTATTTATTTATTTATTTATTTAATCTTTATTGCCTTTACAATGCAAATGGCGGACTTAATGCCAGTATGGCATTCTCTACCAGTCAACCGGAAAGAAGGTGCAGAGAAAATAAAACGGCAGACAACGAACAGAGAAAACATTAAAAAGCATTAATCACCTATACATACATACATACATAAATATACATTCTAGCAACATATATAATAGGTACACACAAATATATACATACATAATCCTGTCGCGCTTAGGATAAATTAGTTTGGACTAGGCTATACTAGTTAATCCTATCGCGTATAGGAAGAACCAGTTTAGCCTAGGCAAAACTAGATTGTCCTGAAATCGGGTTTGGCCGGTAACATATATAAAATTCTCGTGTCACAATGTTAGTTACCATACTCCTCCGAAACGGCCTGACCGATTTTTATAAAATTTTATATGCATATTCCGTGGGTCTGAGAATCAGCTACTATCTATTTTTCATATCCTCAAGTGATAATGGTTGTCCACCTGGGGGTCTACTCACTTTCTCCGAAACGAACTTTCGATAACGAAATTCGAACGAAATTGATTTCGTCAATTTAAGGTTATATTTAATTTGAACGATAAACTATCAAATTGAAGTTATCAACACCTCAATCTATATTTCGACGACGAATCTCTTATCTATTAGACAAGTCCGTCCGTCCGTCCGTGGTGCTGTTTCAGCGGCCAAACCGTAAGAGATAGATATAGAGAATGTTTAAGTTATAAGTTGAGAATAGTCTGATAAGACTACAAACCGGATGTGAGTAACGTAGCACTTCCGGTTTTCGAGAAATCACGTGATTTCTATTTCAAACGAAACCACACAAAATCTCCGAAGTTCTCAATTAATTAAATACTTTTTTTTTTTTTTGGTGAACATTTGGTTCACAGGTTTGCTAGTATTATTATAATTAAAAACGAACCAGAAACATAGTAAGAAAAGTGCGAAGTTTCTATCGAAATTTCGTTTTTCGTTGAATTAGAGTAGGCCTCCTGTAACGTAGTGTTCTGAAATCTTCGCGCAAAAATTCAAACTATTGGGTATTGTAACGTAGTGTTCTCATATGGGTTAGGAGGAATGTAATCCCAGGAAATTGATAGAACACTACCTACTATGTTATATACCCCTAAGATTTTTTTTGGACAATATTTATCTCTTATCTATTAGACAAGTCCGTCCGTCCGTCTGTCTGTGGTGCTGTTTCAGCGGCCAAACCGTAAGAGATAGATAAAGAGAATATTTAAGTTATAAGTTAAGAATAGTCTGATAAGACTACAAACCGGATTTAAGTAACGTAGCACTTCCGGTTTTCGAGAAATCACGAATTTCAAAAGAAACCACACAAAATCTCCGAAGTTCTCAATTAATTAAATACATTTTTTTTTAATCAGGTTTTGGTGAACATTTGGTTCACTGGTTTGCTAGTTTTTTTATAATGTGGTATTAAAAATACATACAACCTTAAATTTTCTCTTCTATCACCTGCCCCTATTTTTATGGCGGTACGAAGTTCGCTGGGTCAGCTAGTATCAATATACTTATATATGTACAGTATATGTATTCTATACGTTATCCTAGTATCCCATAACAAAAGCCTTCAGTCCTTACTTTGGAGCAGCAAGCAATTACATCTTTTGCTCTTGAGCCTCCACGTGTCAACGGTGTCAGCAACTGTCAAAATAAGTAATCACTTTTTTTTTTTTTTTTTTTTTTTTACAACTGTACTTACGAATAAAATGACACGTTTTTCTTCTGTAATAGTTCTTGTGTAATTTGTGTACTATGTAAAACACACATAGGACTTTTTATCTTTAAAAAACATAAAATATTTAAACGTTGTAGCGAAGTGTAGCCGCGACGAGAGAGCGTGCCCGTCCGAATGCAAGTCGGGCAATTACCTGACTTTCGTATCGCCAAATTAGGAGCGTGTATAAAGTTATTATAACGTTAAAACATCATAGTATCCAAATTATTTTTAGTTAATATTTTTACATTTTCGTCAGCTATTTCGTTAGCATTTTTAATTTGACAGTATAACGGAAAAGTGTCCGTACCAGTCCATAATGAGAAAATGTATTCCTTTATTCCATACCAATATATGAGGAGCTGGATGGCGCTAGTGGTTTTGCGTTCGGCTGCGATCGTTGAAGTTAAGCAACTTTCGCAGTGGTCGGTCATTGGATGGGTGACCAAAAATTTACCATCTCTCACTCCTTCGTGCTTCGGAAGGCACGTTAAGCCGTTGATCCCGGCTGCATCTGCAGTCGTCAGCACCCACCAATCCGCACTAGGCCCGCGTGGTGCGTCATGGCCTAATCTCCCTATTCCATCTATAGGTTAAGCCTCTACCCCAGCAGTGGGGACATTAATAGGCTCATGATGACCATCATTCACCGTTTAGCTTTCATCAGCATTATTTTATTACAGTTGGCATACTTGAATGCGTATCACAAACGTGTATTTGACACATTGGCGCCAATTTTGAAGGCAAGAAACTTAACCCAAGACCTGAGTTGGCTGGAGAAGGAATGCAAACCAATGTACAGGGAATAACAGACCTTATTGCTGGCTGCGGAAGGACCGGATTTTATCGCAGGTAATGTAATGTTGTGAACACAGAACACAAAGAGGTTAGAAGGACCTTTTGTACGGGAACCATAGAGGTATAAGAATAGAGTACGGGAGATATAGACTCTACTACAAGTGGAAGTGTCCCTCTAATAGAAAGAGAAAGAAGATGAGAGACCGCTAGCTTTCTCTCTCTAATCGCGCATGCGCATTTCGATGTGACGCCATTGGATGCCATGCGTCACAAGAGAGAGAGAGAGATAGCTAGCGGTCTCTCATCTTCTTTCTCTTTCTACTAGACGGACACTTTTAGAGCCGCCTTCCCTACTCTATTCTTATACCTCTATGACGGGAACCGATGTCGCAGGCTCGTCGTCACTACACTTCCACCTAATAGATATATATCCGGCTCGAAGGACCATAAGGATGTCTGGGACACCTTTAGTTGCTTGATACTGTTATGATAGGTAGTGGCGGGGCAAGACCTAAATTTGATGAGGGCAAGACAGATTTCGCGAGGCCCTGTTCTGTGGCGACCTGAAGACGGATTTTATAAAATAATAAAAAAAGATTTTAGATTTTAAGCAATGCATAAAAATTTTTGAGGCGCGAGGCTCCTTGTACCGCGATTCCGTAGGCGGTGGCCCACGTCGCCCACGCCTTTCGCCGCCTCTGATGATAGGTTTCGAAAAACTGTCCCAAAAATATTGTTATGTTAAATGATAAAACGATGTTGTTTGGACGAGTAATTTATTGCTACTGTTCAATTCACTTAATAAAAGGCATAACGACTCGCGCAGAGCGCCGAGCGACGTAAGCAAAATACTTAAACATATAGAATTGTACGGGTTTTCCCGTACACCAATCAAACTACGCGACATCAAACAAACGAACCAATCAGCGATCACACCCGAGAGCAACGACGCAATCACAATTAACCTCTTTCTGTGTTCTGTGGCAAGGAACTTATTTAATAACTGAAATGCTTACGAAACAATATGGGAATTCAAAAAATTTATCTATTAGACAAGTCCGTCCGACCGTCTGTTTGTGGTGCTGTTTCAGCGGCCAAACCGTAAGAGATAGATAAAGAGAAAGTCTAAGTTATAAGTTAAGAATAGTCTGATAAGACTGCAAACCGGATTTGAGTAACGTAGCACTTCCGGTTTTCGAGAAATCACGAATTTCAAACGAAACCACACAAAATCTCCGAAGTTCTCAATTAATTATTTTTTTTTTTTTTATTTATTTTTTTTAAATCAGGTTTTGGTGAACATTTGGTTCACTGGTTTGCTAGTATAAGTCTATTCACATTGGCGTGAGACAAAATGTAAACAAACCATAAAAAGGTTACTTTTTAAGGTCATGTTTGACAAAAGTAAAGTTTAAATACTATTTACATAGGCAATGCAGGGAAACATAAAGTTAATTATTTTAAAAGCTGGTACATGCATATGAATAAGAAAATAAAATATTTCACACATATTTAACATACATACTCATCATAAATTCGTATATTTTTATTTTGCTGATAAAAAGTATTTTAAGAACATATATGTTGACATGGAAAAAGACCTAAAAACACAATCATTCCCAAACTTAAGACATATTATAATACGATAAAATTTAAGAGTAGACATGATATAAATATTTTATGTTGAAGTGTTGTGTTTTGTAATCGGTTGGTTTACGTTAGTCATCTTTACTCTCCCGATCAACCTGTTGACGCGAGCGTGCATATTCTATCATATTTGTTAAATTCTTGTTATTTCCTTATTTTATTTTTTGAGTTTATTTTTATTTTCTTCTGTTTAGTTTGAAGTTGGTAATAAATTATAGGTAACATAAATTATACGTAATCATTGACTAGTGGGTACTTTCTGACATTATAAAAGTTTAGAACCTCGGATTCTTTAAATCTAAAGAAAAGTTTACTAGAAAAAAATCCACGCGGACCAGGCAGCGGACGGGACTCGAACCCGCATCCTTCGCAATCCGGGCGAATGCACTGACCATTATGCTACCACGGCCCTATTAGCCGCGTCGAAATTTTCCTAGCGTTAAGCAGCAAGGCAGCGCCATCTCTTCGCATTGTAGGTAACCCACAATGTCAAATGAATACTTTTTCAAGTATTAAACATTTGAAAGAAGAAATAGCAATTATAGTTATGATTTTATTTATTTTTAAGCATTTAACTGCTAGATGTTTAAATCTAAAGAAAAAAAAATTTTCTAGTAAACTTTTCTTTAGATTTAAACATCTAGCAGTTAAATGCTTAAAAATAAATAAAGACATAACTCAGATTCTTTGTTTATATTTTGTCTCACGCCAAAGTGAATAGACTTTAGTTACACATAAAGTCCCTCTCTTGCAACTGTTTGGGAACACTACTAGAACGAGACAGATTCCACCAATAGGGTATTTTACAAGTTTTAGAAAACGATCTCACGTTATTTGAATAATGTTTATGGAGTCCGTAAAAAGTGTATATTCATCATTCTGTTGTGTATTTGAGTAAAAATAACCATGTCAAAAACTCCATTTTCAAGTTGCCGCGAAAACGTTTCTCTGGGCAATATGGCGTCTTACTAGTGTGTGACGTCACACGACTGTTATTAAAACGTCAAACGATACAATGTAATGTCACTTTAACCGAAAGTTTACTTGCGTGTGACGTCATTTTAGGCTCCCCCAATCCCAAGCGTTTTGGGTCACGTGACAATAGGTAAGAAAACTATTATCTTTTTCGTGAGTTTTTAGTAAAATTATGAATATTTTTTTTGTAAAAATCCACATTCACAATTGGCACTTTATTTTTAATACTGTCAAATACCCTATTCAGCTATGCTCTTGGAACGATTTTGAGGGTCGCGTAAGCTTTCCAGTTAGTATACAAGTTCCTTGGTTCTGTGGTTATGAACAACTTTTTTTTTAAGCTGTATGTGCAAGGATTATGGGTATCTGTATTATACTGCATACAGACTAAAATTGATTGAAAATTGAAAAATTTATTCCTAATGCATACATTATTCTAAGACGGAAATTAAATGGTAATATTCTTCAAAGTGAATTTTTTGTATCTTATATTGACGATATTTTATAAAAGTGACGCCACATTAGTAGGAAGCAAAATAATAATAGCCAAAATGTAATCGGACACTTTATAAATAATAAATATAATGGTGGCGATTCTGGAATTATTATCTAAACCCATAAATTAGACAGAAGTGATATCTTTGTCATTCTCTATACTCAATGAAAAGGAGAGGCTGATGTTAAGTTTAGAGAATTATGCCAGAATCGACAATATTATAACATTATAATAAATGTATTAGATTTTTTAATTTTGCAAATAAGTATTTTATCTAGACTTAGAGATAGGCTATCAGTACCTAGATATTATAAAAAAAAATCTATATTTCAATTAGTTTTTGCATGCTGGAAACGGCTAATTGTGCGCTCTGACCTAATCATTTAAAAATAAGATTGTAACCACAATTAATGCAAATAAATTTCATTTCTTTTCAAAGGAATAGTTGACCCTTTTTGGAAAAAGGTTTTAAATGGTTAATAAATGTTCTATTAGACCGAAAAAAATGTATTGTATTTTTTGAGACCCAGAAAGCTACAAATCTTTAATTTTAAAATAGACTTTTCATAGATATAAAAAAACGCTGTCGGCCATTTTAGTCTATAGATTATCTATGCTATGACGTCAACCGGTAGTAAACAAAAACTCGTAAGCACGTAGAAAAAAACCTATCTGAGTTTATAGTATAAAAAAACATGATTTCTAATAATATAATTTACCACGAAAAATATAGTAATTATCATTATTGTATTGTACGAGAATGTAAAAACAAATCCTAGAAGACTCCAGGAAAGTTGTGGATTAAAGTGCCGAAAGAAATTAATCTACGCAAAACCTGGTTAGAACTTCCTAAAAGGGATCCTGCAACTTTATCGACTCATAGTAAAATTTATTTTTGCAAAAATCACTTTGATGTAAGTACTCATTGAATAATATTTAAAGTCTCTTCATTTATTATCAGTTTTAATGATAAAAGTATTAAGGTTATGTATGAATGACATTTAGTTGTTTACTACCAAAGAGACGTCACAATCATGGCGGATGTGGCGAACAGCGTTTTTAGTGTTTAAAAAGTATAGACTAAAAAAAATTTTTTTTAAATTAAATTTCTACAGCAATCTTCTGCTTTTATGAAGTGAAATCGATATATTTAGGTTCCTTAGACCAAATACTTTAAGAAATAAACATTTATTTAATACAATTTCCATGTTGTTTTGTTCCAGATGTATTCTACACAGGTGTTGACTAACCGCGGGTTTTACGTTGCTACATTTTATTTTGAATATTGTCATACAAAATATACAATATATTAATAATATTATTATTAACCATGTATAATTATTAAATAATTTTGAAGAAATATATTATTTTAATACTTGACTACGGGTTTTTATTAAATATAGTTATCATCATGAGTGTATTAATATCCCCATTGCTGCGGCGTGGGCCTTCCCTGTGGTTGAAATAGGGAGATGGGAATGCCCCACCGCTGGGGTTACCAACTGGTTGGGCGTTTTATTATGAGTGAGTTTTTTTTTACATCAACAATGTTCGCATTTGGCTTTCGGATTTGCAATATGCTCGCTGACACCACCTAGTCTATGCAGATATGTGGGTCCATAAAAATCACGAAATATCACAAGGGGGAGGAGGGCATAGTTATATATTACGTACATTAAATAAGGGTCATGTATTAGTACAAAAAAAGTTATTCGCATTTCTTTCATTATTCGCATTTTATGTCAGTCAAAAACAACCTGCAACCTTTCTGTCATAATAACGAAGTAAGTAATTAATGGTAGTCTTTAATTGTCTTTAATAAATTTCGATGATACTTGTATTTAAAAAAAATTGTACGTAGTAAAAAATACAAGTGATATAGGGGCAGGGGGGGGGGGGGGGGGTAGTTTTAAACCTCACCACATATCACCAAGGGGGAGGGAGGGGTTAAAAAATGCAAAAAAGAACAATACATTACAAAGAACGAATGTATTTCTCCTTTGATAACACTGATCTTGCGTCAAAAGAAAAATTTGATACAATAGATCACTCCACAACAAACCGTCGGCTTACATATTTCAGTGACATACGTAGATTTAGTGGAATAGGGCACAGGTCTCAGACTGTAAGTTTATAATACAGGGAGAAAAAAACAGCCCTTGCTGAGTTTCCTGCCGGTTCTTCTCAATACAAGGCCTCCCGGGGTAGATTTGCGAACCAATTGCGTAGCTCTTCGACTTTCAGAAGTGCTTGCAACAGTCTAGACTCATCATCATCATCATCAGCCTCTTAATGTCCCCACTGCTAGGGCACAGGCCTTCCCTATGGATGGAATAGTGAGATTGGGCCATGACCCACCACGCGGGCCCAGTGCGTATTGGCGGGTGCTAACGACTGCAGATGCAACCGGGACCAACGGCTTAACGTGCCTTCCGAAGCACGGAGGAACTCAAGATAGAAATTTTTGGTCACCCATCCAATGACCGACCACTGCGAAAGTTGCTTAACTACAACGATCGCAGCCGAACGCGCTAACCACCTGCGCCATCGAGTTCCTCCTAGACTAGACTGAATAAACGATATTGAATTTATCCATATATTGTCCCACAGAAAATAAATAAGGTTTGGAGGCATTGGCATCTTACTCTACGCTTCGTGAGGGCTTGAAACATGGTTGTTTCACTGTAGTCTATTAAAAGAAATATTTCATTTCAACATCTGAGCCCACTATGACTTTCTGTTAATAAAATCATAGATAGCTACGACAAAATCGATAAATATTCCTAATCAATAATAACATATAAAATATGTTTGTTAGTCAATTTCACGAAAAAATATTTGGCGAATTTAAATAAAATTTATTATTTGAGAAAGTGAAAGAGCGTTTTTTTGCTTTCTACATTTAAATTTGTCGAAATTTTTTACCATGTACGACAAAACTGTGGAATATGTTGTCGTCGCCAGCAGTATTTCCGGACCAATACGACCCAAAAACCTTCAAAAAAAGAGCGTACTCCTTCCTTAAAGGCCGGCATCGTATTTGTGATACTCCTGGTGTTGCAAGTGTCCATGGGTGACGGTGATCACTTGCCGTCAGTTGAGCCGTCTGCTCGTATGCCCCTATAACATAAAAAAAACCTGCTAACAGAATGTGTATGTCAGTATTAATTTCAAATTGTTTACAATATTCTCTAGTATGAATCGGTTCTCTATAAGTTATGTGAGAATAAATTTACGTAACTGTGCCACCTCTGAAAATTGACACCACAGCACAATTTAGTGAGTATGTATACATTTATTGTTATTGTATACACTAATACTACTCTTGTATTTTGATATTGTCCAACAGCAAATAAGTAAGTTCTGGTGGGCCTGGGCTCTTACTCTAAGAGGACAATCGCGAAGAATGAAAAATGCATCTCAAGTTGACGTCATTTATACAGTTCAAACTCTCTACTCAAAGAGTTCAAAGCAAGTCGTTTGACCGAATCTATCTTGATATATAATTCTATGCAGATTGCAAATCATTGCTGTTTATAATGATTTGCAAAAATAGACGTCCTTGTTAATACATAAATACTAACTCTTTCGCAAGCCGTTTTAAATGAAAAAATACATTTCAGTGTTTGGAGCTACCGTAAGTGTTCTATAAGGCTCCTTGCTTGGACCCATATTAGTCCAGTCATTATATACATTTGGAAATGCAAATGAACCGAGAAAGCCAAATTTTGGATATTACGTGGGGGGTGGCTAGAAAAGCTTAAGTTCAAATTGTCGACCAAAAAAACCTTGTGGGTTTTCCGCCATCTTGAAAAAAGGGTTAAACTCAGTTTTTTTATCATAACTCGGTTCCCCGTCGAGATACGAAAATTTTTATGGAATACTTTTTTGTTGCTCTTTGTACGATCTACAATTAAGGTCCTATACATTTTTCGCGTATCGACCATCGTTATCGAGATATCGATAAAAAAAAGCCACAAATTTTGGGAGAAATTTTTTTTTTCGATAATAACAGTTTATCGTACGTAGCGTAAGTATAGGAGAATGTTCAGTTTTATAACATACACGCTACGATTTATCGGTACCGTTCGGACTGTACAGTCTAATCGTAACGATTTCTCGTAGTATGTATGTCTACCATCGATAATCGATAAAAAAAGATAATAATAATATAATATAATCGATAATTTATTTGGCGCATTAACTCGCTAATAGAAAATTGACATTCGTCGGAATTTTCTCTCAGAAAGGAGTAAATTGCCTCCATCGCCTCGTCTACTTTGTCCCCCGTAGGTCGTCCTTTCTTATTCCTCTCCTCAGGTAGTGCATGATATACGTGAGAAATACACGTTCTATGGTATCGAGCTCCTACTGCGACGAGATCAGGTATACCATGAATACGCTCGATGATGGAAGTGGCAAATTCATCGTCACGTCCAGACAAGTATCCCATAATTTTTTCATTCATTGATATTTCTACCACGGAATGATTTTTTTTCCGTCTGTGCACTGGGAGTCTTGATTCGTCGCAAAATATTTCTCCACAAAATAAGCATCGATTTTTAAAATCAAAAGTGGGAACGACTTGTAGTTGTTCATCGGGTTCTAGTTCCTGCGATGGAGACTCGCTTCGTCGAGAAGCAATGGACGCTAGGCGTTGGTTTCCATATTTTTTGTAGCACGAACTATGAACACTCACGGAATCAAGATCTTGTAAAATCTGCTGATGATCCACACGTCCTCTTTTCACGCTCGCCGCTAAAAGAGTCTGTACAGCTCTCTTTTTAGCCACATAAACATTTTCAATGAGAGGTTTTTTGCATATAAAACAATCACCCATTTTCACACAAATTTTTCAACACGTACGCTCGCTTCAAAAGACTCGAGACAACTGACTGGAATGTTCTACGAGAAGGAGCAGATGTTCCGGCACGTACGCCAAAAAGGGCCGACACTCCAACCGTCGCACGTCCGCCATGGCGCGACGCACATTCCGGCGTCGGGCGCATTGGCGCCGACTTTGCGGCGCGCTGGAGGTCGTAATTTTTCTCGAAAATTAAAAATTAAAAACGAATTTGTAGGTCTGAACAGGCTCTACAAGTTTTATTCGAAACATTTTTCGGTATTTTTCGTGAGAAAGAAGGAAATAGCGAAAAAAAAAATTTCTCCCAAAATTTGTGGCTTTTTTTATCAATATCTCGACAACGATGGTGGATACGTGAAATATGTATAGGACCTTAATTGTAGATCGTACAAAGAGTAACAAAAAAGTATTCTATAAAAATTTTCGTATCTCGACGGGGAACCGAGTTATGATAAAAAAACTGAGTTTAACCCTTTTTTCAAGATGGCGGAAAACCCACAAGGTTTTTTTGGTCGACAATTTGAACTTAAGCTTTTCTAGCCACCCCCCACGTAATATCCAAAATTTGGCTTTCTCGGTTCATTTGCATTTCTAACCCGATTTTTCCGACGTAATGACTGGACTATATTCTTTTTGCGGTGTTAGTGAACCAAATGGAATTTAAAAAAAGTTATTATGTGAACAGCATATTTTTTTCTTTTTAACGGACTTAAAAAAAGGATGTAGTAAATCCATTTGTCGGTATCTCTTTACCCGGCTGCGCAATGCAAGAGCGCGAAGCGCGACGCGCAGACAGGGTTATGTGTTTAACAGTCTATATATGTATGTTTGTTCCTTTGTGGCACACTAGAGACCAAACGCCTGGACCGATTTTGATGATTCATACATCAATCGATTCGTCTCAATCATGGGAGTGCTACTAAAGATATGATAGTAATCAAAATTCAATATGGGCAAAATTATGCGCCATATTGTGACGAAGTAAAAAAAATAAGTTGACAAAATATGTCGGGTGGGGTATCACTGTCTAGATAATCAAAAATCATATTTAGGTTCCTAACACCATTTTTCATTTTATATGATTGTTTAGGATCTACAACGCTTTAAAGTTGTATATTAACCACTTACGCTTTTAATTTCAATCTTACGTTTGTATAGATCTTTGTTACTCTTTGACCTAAAAAATACTGAATGGATTTTAATGAAACTTAACAGTAATATAGCTCATATACGATAATTACATATATATAATAATTTATGTAGTTATTGAGTGAATTGGCCAATATTTAACAATAAGTGTCACATAAGACGGAAAAAGATCTCCCATCTGCGAGCCATTTTGGCCTGCACTGCAAAAACAATAAAAGTTACATGAATGTAATGTAGAGTGAA